TGCCCCTTGGTGAGTCCATGCTGACCTCTCCTGATGGTAGTGGTGCCTAGGGACATGGTTTAAGGGGTGACATCGTTGGTGGGGTGATGGTAGGCCCAGATGATCTTGGAGTTGTTTTCCAACCTTAGGGATTCTGTGATTCTTCTTGCTCTCCTTGTGCCTGGAAATGTTTTCCAGGGTTAATGGCAAAGATCCAGTGTGGCACAAAGTAGTCAGAGGGGACGCAACAGGACTGTTCTGACAAAGATTTCAACTGTTCATACCTACAACAAGGGGTAATTAATAAATGAATAAATAATTAAATGCATTGTTTAAATGAGGTATTGAATAGGCCATTGAGCATGCCCACTCTCTTTTTCATTGGCTTCAAGTTTAGTTGGCTTGGCGAGTTCCAGACTTCCAGAGCCTGCAAATAACATGAAGTGCTAGTACTCTTTTGATTCAGCTCCCTTAGTTTGTCACCAATTTTCCCCAAAGAGACAGGAAGAGTACCAGCAAGCCTCCCAGGGAGCACTTGTCATTTTGAGTGCCCTAATATGTGGTCAGTTCTACATGATTATGCTCAAAACTGTTTTAAAGGTTTTTCAGCACATCTGAAATCATTAGCTTCTTTTGTTGAGTTAGGTCAAAACAACCTGACATGAGCTATTTTCCCTCCCTCTCCACAGATGTGACTCCAATTAGAGACCCCTTTTAAGAAGTATAGCCTCAGTTTGCCGTGTTCTTTGGGATAAAGCAAGACACCTATTATTCGCCGTTATTCATAACATGCAGCGCTTGTCAGCGACTCCGCTGAGATTATTGCATCTTTTGTCTGAGCGGTTTTAGACAGAAGGCATAAAGTGTATTTAATCAGAAATATATTAAGGGGAAAAAGCACACCAGGCAGAGTGATACAGCTAAACATAATTCCCATTGAATTACATGGGCAGGGTATTTTTGCTCCTATGGAGAAAATTTACTGCCTGGTGCTGTGACTCATACAACAGCCCATACCTCTTCCAGAGCAACCCTGCTGAAGTTCCCGAGGTCACCTCAAGACTGATGCATGACTCATTATCAAGATTTCTGAGCCCTGCTCCTGGTGTGCTGGCTCAGTAGCAAAGCACGAGCCCTTCAGGCATCTGCTACTTCCTTTTTGCCACTTGTTTCTTGAGAGGACCAGCTGTGCCCTACCACATCTGACCGACGGCCAACTGGCCAGCAAGCAGCAATCAAGCACAAATGATTGCCTGCAAACACCGTGACACGGGGGTATTACTGAACAGCCACAGTCTAAAAATCTTTCCTCAGGTGAGCTCCTTGTAACTGAGGACAAGAGGAGGCAGAGAACCACCTGTGGCTTTCAGAGGAGGGATGGGAGAGCTGTAAGGTCCTGCTAGACTGACCCCCAAAGTGATATACATGTAAATAAGAGGAGTTTGGTATGTGGAGCCAGGTTACCCACAAGCTCTTTCAAATGAAGAATAATAAAATATATTAAAATCAGCTATAAGTTGAGGAACACAGGGATGTCAGCACACTTTTGCTCAGCACAGAGAAATTAGTAAGTACTTTCTTCTGCCAGCATGGCTGAGAAAAGACAATGTTAAAGAGCACTTGGAGATGGACTTGGCGTTCATCATCCACCTCCAGCACTGGCTACTTGATGGAGATAACAGGCTGGAAGGATGTGGTGAAGCAGCTCTCGAGCAGCTTTGAAGAGCCAGTGACCTCAGCAGAATGACACCAGCATGCTCAAGCTAATGGAGAGGCTCAAGTGTGTGCACAACGGCATCAGTGTAAGAGCTTGAAACTTGAGCATCCCTGCCCACACAGAACTTGTCAGCAAAGCAAATCCTGTGTTTCATATCCAAATTACAGCTGGGATGTACATGATCCCACATTCAGAAGTGGTATCAAGTTGTGTCAAGTTTTAGCATCACCACCGAGGTTAGAAGGTGGCGAGTCTCATTTTACCTGCAGTGTTACCAAGGGCTCCTGAACTCTCGTTATGGGATAGTCTGGACATTATAGATAGGCCAGCTGTCAGCTGTAATGTATTGACTTGAAACTACATCTCCCAGGTCTGTTTCCTTTTAGGATGCTAAAAAAAATATACTACACACTTTGCTCATCAGGTAGTTTTTTGTTTCACACAGCGTTCCCAACAGAAGTGGAAAACCAGGTCTGCAACAGAGAGGGTTCAGAGCAGGCTCAAGAAAGGAGTGCCAAGAAAATTTCTGTGTGTCCCTCAGCCAGTAGCCTTTTAATGACATCCATGCTGTCCTGATTTGTACCAAAAAAAAAGGTTTGAGGATTTCTACATTCCTGAGGAGGCAAGTGCTAAAAACACTGGAGATAAAAAAAATTGGTGTCACCCCTGCCTGAGGGGTCTGGCCCTTTGGGAGAATGAGTTACTCCTGTATGGATGCACCAGGCTCGCAGCACTACTTGGGATCAGAGCTGCTGAAGACTCTCAGGTCTTTAACGTGTTAAAGTTCCCAACTTCCTAGCATATGTTCAACCTCATTTTATTCATTTGGGATTATTGCAGTTTATGTGTTTTACACGTGATGGGTCTGGTTGATGAAAAAGGGGGTTGTGCACTTTTGGGTACAGGCTACATTTAATGGCTGAAGCTACAGTAGTTAGTGCACTTTGAACTAGCTCTTGATTTTAGACCCTTACTTCCAGTTTGAAACTAGCTGTAATTTGCAGTTTTCCAGCTTCTGCGCCACGGCCATAAGGAGCTGAGGCAGGTGACACCGCTGTAGTAGCTTTCAACTTGGGTAATGCTCAGAGATTTTACCAACACTGGCTGTTTCTCTGAGCTGCAAACAGTGAGAGAGGGAGGCACATTACCTGATTAGCAGTTACACCAACGTGTTACGTGGGACAGGAAAAGGGTTTTGTATCTAAACAAGCACATGGTCGTCGAACAAGCTGAAATCAGTGTTGCAGTCTGGAACATACTGGCTCACCATAATATCTCTGTTTATATAGGATATACAAATGTGATGACCCACGTCCAGCCTTTGAATCCTGCCTGCCCTGGTAGGGGAGATGTGGTGACCAAACCCCCAGACTTCTCCAAAAGTCTTTTCTAGAGAGACTGACCCAATCTGAGTCATCAAAAAAAAAAAAAAAAAACAAGCTGGAAAATCACAAGCAAGAACACTCGTGTTTCTGAAGTCTGCTTCAGTTTTGCTTTGAATGAACAAAGTTATTGGTAACAGCATGAAGAGATGGTTAATGACCACTTCACCTACTCAATTAACAAGAAACAATCCTTTGAATTTTCAGTCACCGTGGTACTTAATCAAAAACTTTTGTGCAAGGAACCACAAGGGAGATGTGTTTCAGCCCACAGGAGTCAGATTTTTTTTCTCTATTTGTGACCAGGAAAGAAAGTTCAACTGTTTTCATCGCTGCTCCCCTGTGTAAGTGGATACTCGATGACCTCTTGATTTCTAGCATGGAAAGACAATTTTCGCAATTGAAGCATAATCCCCTGGAACAGGGTGATTGGTTTCCCATCTCCATCCTTCCCCAGAAAGCGTAAAATCTCCGTGCTGTTAGTCTGGGGAACCGTTTACAAAGGAACAAATTGGAGGCGTTTAGTTCCACCTTTGTCCTGACAGCTCCTGTAAGCATTTTCCTGCCTGCTAACATCCTCCTGCTCCAGAGTAGATGTTCTCTCTTCCATCTCAGTAACCCTGTCGCTTGCCATTTGAAGAGCCATTTTTATTCCTGTTAGATCTTCTGACATGTACTGCTGTTCTTACAGTGTGTTTTCCCCTCCACTGATGCCACTAATGACATCTACATTTCTGTGTCATCTACTCAGGCGGTTTTCCTTTCCCTGACGGACCCTGATGAACGCCGTGACAGCTAATTGCTATTCCCAAAGAGCATAGTGTATTTCTTCTGCACATCATCAATTTTCCACCCAAAAAGAAGTCTGAGAACTATTCAGACGAGTGCAAGGGGAGGGGAGGAAAGGTCAGGGAGCAGGGACGGATGAGTTTCATGGAATTTGCTACCGGCATAACCCTGCATTGCCTTCGCTGCTCTCCATCTCCGTGGGACAGACGGGCTGGAGCTTAATCTGTTCCCTTCATCCGGAGTTTAACAGAGGGGCAGAAAAGGCATTATTCACTCTAACGTGAGGACATGCGAGCTGTGTATCCAAATAACAGCAGATGGAAACAAGCAGCAAATTCTCGCTCCAGAAAATACGAGCCAAGAAGCCACAGCCGTTGCTCGCCCCGCAAAATCCTTGCTCGGCGGCAGGAGTCACCCTGTGCTGAAATCCGGCTGGGAGGCTTCAGGCTGAAGCCTTTAATGTCACGCACTTTTGTGGTGCTTCTCGGAGACCACGCTACTCCTGTCCAAGACATGGAAAACACAGAGATTGAGGGAGTTTTTTTATGGATAGTTTCCTAAGGGACTTGTTCAAAGGATGTTAGTTTGTTATGGGATCACTATTATCAATTTTCACCCAAACGCAGGCTGCTACCACCACTTCAAGCTCCCTCTCCAGGAAGCCTGAGTCCTGCTCCCTCACACCTGTGCTTCCTTCAAGTTAAGGCACCAAAGGCTCCACCACTTGACACCTTGCTTACCAGGGAAGAGCCAGGGAGGCAGAAGCTGTGACCTCTGCCCAGAGGACATCCTCAGGCTTGCTGTCTGCAGGCAGCGTGGAAATCCACAGCGTGGGGGTGCTTTGTGTATGGTGTGCGGTGGGGAGGGTGCGTGAAGATGAGGGTCGGTGGTAGCATTTTTAATGGGCTCTCTGAGCTTTGTGCATTCCTAATCTTGACAGCAAGTCGAGGAGAAGGGGTCACATTAATGGGGTAACTCACAGGAGCTGGGGATTCGCAGCTTGGTTCAGGATGCCCTCTTACTCCCTCAGAGGCTTTCTGGTGGCACTCCTTCCCACCTCCCACTGCCTCCACTCCGGGTGAAAGCATTTACTCCTTTACATCACCATTAAGTGTCGAAGCAACCTGCCAGAAAATGCTGGTGGGCTCCTCACTCCTCTCCACTTTCCCATGCACTTTGGGTCCTCTCCTGTGCTTGCTCACAGACACCGAACACAGCCAGCAACCCCAGTGTACGGCGGCACTTTGGCACCACGGGACCCCCGAACTGCACCCCAAAAGCCAGGCTGGGGTCTAGGAGGGGTGACAAAGGGGGTGGTCTTGGTTCTTGGGGTGGGAGCCCAGCATCTCCTAGGGCGCTGCTCCCTGCCTGCTCGTCCCCCGGTGACATTTGGTGCTGTGAATTGGGGGTCTTGGGGGAGGGAAGGGAGCTCAGCCCCGGCTTGTGTTGCCCATCGTGCGGGCGGGGGGGGGAGAGGGGAGTGTCCGAGGAACCCCCCCGCTGCTGTGTGCACCGGGACACCCCTAACACACCCCACACCAACCCTCCTAAAGCCGCCCCCCGCCCCACATCCCACCGACCCCGACCCCCGGCGGCAGCCCCCCGCGGCCGTGGGGGCGGTGCGCGTACTCACGGCGGGCGGGCGAGGAGGAGGAGGAGGAGGAGGAGGAGGAAGGAGAAGAAAAAGGGCAGGCATCCCTCCCGGCGCACACCCCTCGCTTTTTTTTTTTTTTGGCAGGCTCTGAGCCACCTCTCGTGGCACGGCCGAGCCCACCCGTGGCCGCCGTCACGCGTGGGAGGGCGCCGGGGCTTTGGAGAGGGGGGGACGGGGGGGGCGCTCCCTCCTTAGCCCGGCGGCCGGCGCAGCGCGGCGCAGAGCGGCTCGGGGAGGCAGGAGGAGGAAGGCAGGAGGCTCCCGGCCCCCGTGCCGCCGAGAAGAAGCCGTGCGAAACCCGTCCCAGCCGTCGGGGATCCTCCAGGGTCCCCTGGTAGGGCAGCGAGGATGGCGAGGACCATGAGACCCGACGACATCAACCCCCGGACGGGGCTGGTGGTGGCTCTGGTCAGCGTCTTCCTGGTGTTCGGCTTCATGTTCACCGTGTCCGGCATCAAGGGGGAGACGCTGGGGGACATCCCGCTGCTGGCCATCGGGCCGGCCATCTGCCTGCCGGGCATCGCTGCCATTGCGCTCACCAGGAAGACTGACGGCTGCACCAAGTGGCCCAAGAACAAGTGCCCGTGCTGCAAGCAAGGCAGGGACCGCGATGTGATGGAGCTGCTGAGGACGCCCTCGGACCTGGAGTCCGGCAAGGGGAGCTGCGACGAGCTGGCCAAGAAGGTGTACCACAAGGACCGCAGGGCACCGCGCACCGAGGACTCGGTGTCCATCTGCACCACCACCACCACCACCACCACGGCGGGGGAGTGTAAGAGCCTCATCAGGAAGGTGGACCAGGAGGAGATGCTGAGATACCTGGAGACCTGCTACCCGGAGATGCCAGGGAACGTGTTTGTGGGAGACGGCTCCACGTACAGTGCCTTGGAGAAGACGAGCTCTTCTCCCACCAGGGACAGCGATGCTTGCCCAGACGTTGAAGACAACATTTTTGTTGCTCCTAAGGACAGCATCATCGTCTGCTCCTACAAGGAGAACAGCCCTTATGACAGATACTGTTGTTACATAAACCCTACCGGAGTCGCCTCAGACCAGGAGACCATAGTGTGAACAATGCATACTTTATATATATGTACGTATTCATACAAAAACTACAGCTCCAACTTCTTGATAGGGGATAATATAGCTGACTGCACTGCATGGGACAATCCTGATACTATTACAATTTAACCTGGTATGTGACTGATACTCAAACCTTTTGTGCCTGAAATACTCTTTCTGTAAGTAAACAAGCATGTTTAAAGGTTAAAGAATTCAATTTTTCATTTTGAGGGAAAAAAAAAAATCCATTATAGTTTTACTTTCTCCCCTCCTCTCCCTTTTGTTTTCCTGCTGTCTGTGGTACACGAGCCCATAGACACGCTGGCAGGAGGTCAGCTGGGAGCAGGAGCTGAGTCAAAACTCTGGAGCTGTCTGTAGGAAACTCTGTGGTGCTCTTGGTACATCCTGTCAATAGTGTCCCCTTGCTTTCGGGAGGGACTGAGAGGTGCCAGCATGCCCTCAAACAGCTGACCGATGTTAGGGAGCCTGGAAGCATTTTTTCCCTTCCTTCTCCTTCCTGGCAGGATTTTACTTTCCTGTTTCAAGGTGTCGATGTGCCGACCCTGTGGGCTCTTCTGGAAGTCTCCTAGGAGCTAGATGAGCTCGGGGGAGATTTCAAAGACTAAGCTGTCATCAGTGGCACGAAAGGTACAGGTTTTAGCTCTGTTCCTTACCAGTATTGAGTTCACTGAGACGTGCATAACACGTTTGGATTTTCAAGGCATACTTGACAAGGGGATTACAACATGATCATGACACAGTTCTTGCAGATGTCAGTGGACTCAGGATCTTAAAAAAAAATGATTCCAGTACTTTTTAGGGAATATTCCAGTACTTCTAGGGAATAGACTTGCATGGGTTTTGTTGAGAGCTGGATCTGACTCTTTGGAAAATGTCATTTTCATGTGCCTTTTCTAAACTGCCAGATGTTTCTCTGCGGCTCATGAGTGGTTACAGTTCACACAGGAGCTGAGGGAGCAGAGGACCTGGCTGGCAGAGCTTTTTGTTAACTACTTGTGGATATACAGCATGAGACGTATGAAGTGAGTAATGAGGATTAATTCAAACTCTGAGCCTGCGGCTTACATACAGCAATGCAAATCCTGCCTCTTCTCCCCAGCAGAAAATTGCATGTTCCATGTAGTGTACAAAATTTTATCTGGCAGCTATGTAGATAATAGAGACGCGACCTTGTGTGATGTGTACGCTAAACAGCTACTCTAAGGGTTAAGCTCTTAGGGTCGTGGTTTCTAAAACATGGAGTAATTTGCTAGCATCTCACAAAGTCTCAGTCCCTGTAACTCAACTCTCAGACCTACTTTGAATAGTTCCTCTGTGACGGCAGTGTTTGTAACTGTTTTTACTTCACCTACTTTCGATCGACCGTAAGTTGCAGCAGACAAACACTTTGAATTATCAGCATAAGAAAGAAGACAGAGTCTTTCTCTTGTAGCACCCACAAATACCGTGTAGAAAGTGGCAAAGAACTTTCCACTGAAAGGAGCCACTCTTTGCAGCCTGTGGAACTGATGGGGAAGCGGAGGGCAACTTTACACGTCCCCTAGTTATTTGCTTGGAAACTTGATTGTTGTTGCCAACTTCTTATAGACTAACAGACTCTGAAGAGGTTTTCAAAAGGGGGAAATACATTTTTTTTATGGAAGGTTTCTTTTTGTCAGACCAAATGAGATGTTACATTTCTGCTGTGGCCAAGCTTTAATGGGACATCTGAAGTCTATTAGGAGAAGTTAAAAAAAAAAAAAAAAAAAGATAAAAAATGCTATCTCGTCTGAGCCAGTTAAAGCCTCTTAATAGGTGGTTACAGGGCAGCTTTGCTGCTCTGGAATACATTAACAGTGCTGTGGGAATGAAAAAACTCTGTGCAACCCACGTTTCATACACAGAGCAAAGGAATTTCACAAAAAGAGACCATCTACCAGAAGCGCCGAGCTCCCATGTCCAGATAAAAGCTCTCTGTCGTTGTCAGACAGGCTTTCTCCTGCAGGCTCAATCGCTGCAGGATTTTACTCTGCAACGTACAGAAGCAGCTCTTTGATGGCATGGGAAAATCTTATCTTGTAACCTCTGAAGTCAACAGCTGAGCTGCTGCTCAGGTACATGATTAGGAATGGGGTCTTTAATCTCTTTCTGTTGCTAGGGGACACAGGTGAGGATCTCACCCAGCCCCTGGAGATCAGACCCACCGAGGGGAAGCATGCTGCCAGGTAGCTGAATGCTGCCTTTGCCAGGGCTGTGAGCAATCCTTTAGCATTGCATAATAGAGCAAAGCATCAGCCCGCTGGGAGCCTAGATTTGTACAGTTCTGCAAATATATATAGGAAGAGGTCAAGTTTTTTTTTGTTTTTTTTTTTTTTTTTTTCCATTTTGTCTAGGATTAGATGTTCTCTGTCAAAAGTTATATGGGGTTTTGCAAGGCAAGACAGCAAACCCTAGTGACAAATGGAACAGTAAATACATAACTTGAGATGCTGCCGTGCAGATCTGAGGCATCTGCTTTATTTCCTTTCTGAATCTAAAACCTAAAGAAAATCTGTATTAAACCCAAGTTTATTGGAAACAAAATTTTCCCTCAACATAGAGACAGACATAAAAAATGTACGTTTAGAGCATATTTATACGCAATGTCTTTCCTCCATTGAATTAGCTGAGGTACGACTTTACAACAAAATATAACTTTGAGCAATGTTTCTAGGCTAATCCAGCATAATTCACTACAGGGCTTTTTTCTGAACATGTGAGAGTTTGAAGTTAAATAAATATAGTTGTACTGCCTCTGAAATCCCAATCTCTATGATTTTTTCCTTTCTTTTCTGCTAGCTAAGCAGAGAATGAAATGGTAATTGATGAATTTGGCCATTTAAAACCAAAGCTTTTTTTTTCCCCCCCACAAAGTGAGCATTTTTCATACACTATAGTTTTGCCAGTAAAAATCCACTGCTTATTTGATCAAAGACAGCATGACAGCAGCCTCAGGGTTTTTATGCAGATAACATGTCCAGGCCTGAGAATTATTGAGGATTTATTTTCATTCAGCTCATGTGCTCTCTTCTGATGGCTGCTAGAACTTGTAGGGCCAGTGCTGATCCTGGAACAAGCAGCAATAATTATGTTGCTTTTCAGAGGCAGCTGCTGCTTGTCCTGAATCTGAAATTGGCTCCAGGATACCACAGTTTTGGGTGCGATTCCAAGCCATGACCTGGCGATGAGAGCTGCTTTCTATCCTTGCTAACTTTATAATTTCTCTGGGTTTAAATTCTCCCCTCAGTGCTGTTCTCCAAAGAAGGCACTTGTAGTGGAGCTCTGTTTGTGGTCCTGTTGAGGTCAATGGCTGCACATTGCTTGGTCTTACCCTAGGGCATATTTTAGCATTTAAGGAAAGACAGTGATTTAGACACTCCGAGGTTCCTAAAATATATAATTAAGTCGGTTTTAGACTAGAAGTTATCATAGTGCTACAGTGGAGTTTACCTTCTTTTAAGAAACCATGTGACAAATCAGCTGTATTCAGGACAGTTTTGTCCTGCCTTGTTTCGATATCCATGGGCAGAAGTAGCATTTTTACAGCCATATGAGCTGATCATTGCAAAGCCTTTAGCAGGAAATTGGGATTTTTAATCAGCGTGTGGCTTGTCCCTCTTGAGAAGTAAACAATAGCTGGTGCTTTCTGACCAGAACCAAGTGAGTGGGAGGTGAGCATCCCTCAGGACCAGTGTTTCATTCCTGATCTGAGTTGAGCAGAAATTGCCTTCCCACAGGCAGTTTTTCCTCCCCATCTGATGAAAACTGACTGCAGTCCCAGCTCCAGCGAGCATTTATCACGTTGCAATTAGCAGAGTAACAGGCACTATGACCCCCTCTCTGCAGATCTGATACATGACAGGACTGTTTGCAGGGAGAGCTCCTGCTCTTGACCAGAGTGGTAGAATCTCAGCCCGCAGCATCGACCCAATGTAAGAGACATCTACTAAATCATAAGTGCTTGCAGCACAGGCCTAGGATTTTGCATCTCTGTGTGTGTGAATGAACGCCTTTCATTCTAAAGATGCTGTAGACATGGGTTAAGGAGGGGCGGCTGTCACCCCTCAAAATCTCAGCCTGATTTTCACAAGCATTTAGGAACTATCTATTCATTTGCAGAGCACAGCCTGCACTCAGACACTGGACTCTCAACATGTTGCCAGTAAATACATCATGCTGGAGAATGCAGTTTGGACAAGGAGCAATTTTCTGAATCCTGAAAGGTTTCTATGTAAATACTGTTATCAATAGTATTAAAATGTTTAGTTTTTTTTTCTTGATATGTAGGCTAGAGCAATTTTCTTGACACATTCTTGACACACAGCATGGGGCATCGGCTGCAAAGCAGCTTTGCTGAGCCTGTTTGTAACCTGCAGCCAGTCCAAACGTGATGCTTGCTGGGACAACTAGGTACGTTTGTTACTTGTCTGGTGTTATCAGCACTTTTATGTCTTGTGTTCTCAAGCAACGCAGAGACCAAGTCTAGAGTTCACTTATAATGCTTTCTGGCAAACTTTCATCAGTAAACATTGCCTTTAGTTTATCAGTCCTCTCAGAGGAGGAATGTCAGACCCCGTATTTCTTTACCAGAGAGGAAGGTCCAGCTATCACTGCTTTTTAAACCATTTGCCACTTTCTCTTGAGAATAGTTGCGAGGACCTTTCCTGACTATCCTATTGTCAGATGCCTGCAGAGAGGTTTATTCTCATTTCTTAGAAACACTGCATCATGCATAGGTGTACATATGTCAACCACTTGTTTGCAAGAGCAGGTAACAGGATGCACAGAGATAAATCCATTTGAGATCTACACACGGGACCCCCAGTCTTTCAGACAGCTCACATCAATTTTCTGCCTCTACCCTATTGCTGCTATCCTGAAAGTTTGAAAATCATATTCTTTACAATAAGAGAATCTTTCAAAAAATCCCTATATTGTGGCTCTTTAAGGACATAGTTCTTCCAGCAGGATACGGATTTTGAATGTCCCAGTACCATGTTTTATCATAGCCCCTTTGAAATTGTGGCATCATTACCAGTAGAAAATTCAGATTTTCTACTCTTTTGCATCCAGCAATTCCCCAAATCCTTGGTAAAAGCCTTGAGCCCTTGGTTAGTTCCGCTAGATTTAGTATTAGAATCTTTTCAACATACAGTTTCATTACTTAGGGAATGGAAAAGGGGTGAACATTTTGAAAATCTGACTCTGTACCTTAAAAAAAAAAAAAAAAAGAAAAAAAAATATTCTTGAAAGCAGAAGAGACCAAAAAGGTTTCACAGACAGTATTGCATTACTGAGCTATATTCTAGTCCCATAAAAAATACGTCTAATGCATGTAGCAGGGGTCTGATGCCAGGAATGCCAATTTGTCTTCAGATCTCATCAAACCACATTTACACATGATTGTATTTGACCATGAAATGCAGCGATAACCATTACCAATTGTGCCCAATCAAGCACAAAAGGAGGCAATGACAGTAGCTTTGTTTTTAACATTCACTGGCTAGGAAGAACCTGTTCCCTTGCCGCAGAAATACAAGGTAAAATTCCAAAAGGTGTTAAAAGTAAAAAAAAAACGTAGAGCTTCAAGGTCAAACTCAGTGAAATATAGAAACTGTTAAATCCAACACTACAAGTTAGTTTCAAAAAGGGTACATATGTGCATAAGAACTAGGGCAGTGCAAAAATGGGGTAAAAATACAGAAGGTGGTGTAGCATGGTTCCCTTACTGTCCGAACCAGAGGGCTGTGATTAGTATGTTATGGGACTCTAAATGACACCATATGGACTTGTGTATGCTCATTGGAAGTTTTAATTATCAGGGTTCCCACACCACCAAAAAAAAAATATCTCACATTTCAAAATTATTACTTCATACCTCTATATCAGAAAGTGCATTTTTAATAGGTTTTAAATTAGGAAGGGAGGGAATTTTCCCCCACTTTCCCTGGAGAGAACATTCAGTTGCAAATGATTTTATCTTTGTATTCCTTGCTAGAATGTAATAATGTTTAATCCAGTGTTTTGTACTGCCTGGTGTGAGGTAGGGCACAATCGAGACAGGAGTTAGGAAGACAGAGTACTCATTATCCGAAAAGCAGATGTTAGCCAGCTGGAGAATAATCAGAATAAACTTGTATAGCTTTGCCTTTTTACTGCTTTGAAAGGACAGCCCCAGAAAGACACTCTTTAAAAACCAAAGACTTAACTATGGAGGTCAGTTGAGATGGAAGGGCTATTAATTACTATCGGGGATCTAAGTGGGGTGGGAGAGAGAGACGACTACCTGCTCTGCGTCCTGGGGAACCTCATGCCAATCTCTTCCTCAGACCCGACCTTCAAGACACTACACAGTCGCTGACTCCATCGTTAGGCTCAGCACTCATACTATGCCCTTGTACTGTTTTTCATTCCACCTGATTTCCTTTTATTTTCTTTAAACAAACCGATGTTTCTGATCTCACTTCATAGCTGTAGGAAGAAGCAGACAGCTTTTCTGTTTACGCTAAAAGGAGCATGGAACTGGAGATATCTGCAAATATCAATAGCAAACTAAAAAAAAAGATATTTGCTGGGGATAAAGACTAATTTTTCAGTGGCAAAACACAGTCTCTTTCCAATGTAAATGGTTTGAAAAAAAGTCTAGGAAGTTTTACACCTTTAAATACATCAACCATTTTTTTTAACTTGTTGCAACTTTTTTAAATGTTGTGGTTGTTCAATCTATTCCTCAACATTCAAAATGAAAAAAAAAAGTGATGGTTTATCAATCCAATTAAAGACTTTCTTAAGTCATTTTTTTGTGTTATGAGATTTATTTAAAGTACATGCCTGCGTCCTCACCTGCATGTAGATCGGGCTGCAATGAGCAATAATCATACAATAAACAAACAATAAGACACACAAACTTTTCATAAGATTACCACATCATGAATACATAATGGAACATTATCCATTGCATTATGTTCCATAACTGTAGACACTGAAAGACTGGGATGTGAATCTCTGCAGATTTAACACATCTCATATATGTGCATCATGCTGCTTGTCAGACTTCACAGTGACCAGACAGCAATCACTCGACAGAGCTTTTCTGCATTGCCATGGTCACGAGGACTTTAGGCAGCAGCTTCCAGGGGAGCCACAACACCTCTCTGTATTTCTCAGGCAGTGAGAAAAACTGGGAGCTATAGCAGAACCCTCTGGAGAGCTGAATTTCAGTAGCATTTGTCTCAAGTGAATCCCCGCACAAGTATATAGATTTAGAGCAGCAGAATGGGACAGCATTTTTGTTTTGCAGGTGATACAAAGACCACATCGCCCTTGTATCTGAAGTTTCATGTTGACAACCATCCTGTGTTCCCTCAGTGGGATCACACTTGAGATGTCTGCAGTGTTCAAACCTGAGACACTTCTAATAAAGATGTCAACAGTTTTGTGACTTTATATTGGATATTGATCTGCACTAATGTCTCCTTATATAGTTATATTTATAACCATAATATTTTTATATATATTATATATATATTACGTACTTATATGTATGTGTGGCCACAATACAGAGAAAATAATAATAATAAAAAATCTCTGCAGTTATGTCATCCCCAGAAGGTAAAAGCAAGGCAATCTCACAGGCTTTATGCTGCAGCCACCTTTGCTGAGCTAGCTGTGTAGTACAACCTCTGCAGATTGCTGCATTTTATATAATGCCTGATAAAATCTGTGCAACTCTGTAGTGCACATGTCCCTGTAACTTGCCTGTTGTTTTGGTAGGTGGCAATGAAATACGGCTGGAGGCATCGACAGCAGCTTTCAAAAGTCTTGAGTTAAATCTTACGTACTTGCCAGTTGACTGAGGACACTTCAGTTTGTATCCGTAACTTTCATTACTTCTATATTCTAGAAAATGAACAGTAGTATCACAGTCAGCCAACAAATAACACTAATGAGGACTACTGTTTGAAGTCTCAGGAGAGATACCACAGATTCAACAGAACTTAATAATCTCATTCTGGAGATACTCTCTTGAAGAGACAGTGAAAAAACTGAGAGTTAGAATGGCACTGGTGCTCCCTGAGCTGTACCTCTTTTGCAAATAGCCATACAGACTCCAAGCCTCTTGAAGTCAACAGGAGTCTGTCCATTATCATCAGCAGAATTTGAATACTACCCAAGGACATACCCATGGTGGAGGCTGTCCATCCAACAAGATTGCTAATGGTCACTCAGAATTCATTTATATGTAGAAAACTTTAGACTCAGAACACATTCGTTTTTAAGCTTTTAATTCCGAAAACATTAAAAGAAAGCAGATGAGTTAAAACTGCAATGCTTCTACAGATGAACATATAACAAAGTGCATGCTTTCACATTCATATTTGATAAAAGATCCTTTGATATGCATCTTTCTAGTAAGAAAAGAAAGCATGCTAACTCATTAAAGGGATAATGTAAATTAGATTATACACCATGCGGTACTACTACATGCTGAGAGTTTCAAAATATCTAGGTATAACTGGGATAAAGAAAATGTTTTTATTAAAAGTCAGCACTATACTCTGGACAACTGAATGGTTTATTTTGCTAAGATTACAAATCGGGTAACTTTACTGCACCAGGTACTAATACAAGAATCAAAAATAGAGAAAGGAACTTTTCCAGTTTAGAAAAAAATACGAAATGAATTTAAAATTCAACTTTTTAAAAATTAGGACAGGTTCCATGTTGGGATCTCACGTTCTAAGATCAGCTCTCTGCATGTTCCTTGCCAAGATCGCTGGTATTCCCACAGATTTCTGAGACAAAATTTCACTCAGGATGTTTTTTTTTGTTTGTTTGTTTGTTTTGTTTTGTTTTGTTTTATTATTATTATTTCCAATAAGTCTTCTGTAATACAAAAAGATTTAGGTTTCCACTTCCATTAAGCACCTTGGAAAAATCTAATGCTATTGCTGCATTAACTTCCCACAGAAGCTGAAGAAGGAGCGGTAATGTCAACCTCTTCTCACTACCACACACAAATATTCAACATTAAAACTATGCTGACTTCATGGGAACATGGGCAATTCTTCAGCTGCTTGCTTGAGTTACACAAATTTACAGACAAAAAACCTGCTTTTATATATATGTTTTTCTAAATGTACCTAGAATCAGGAACAGACTGGAGGGTAAGGAAGCAGAAAAAGGAGAGTAAATGCTGCCATGTCACCTATAGCCCTTCCTTTTCACCTCCTCCCAGTCAGGTTTGGCCAGTCCAGATGGTGTTATGGTGGAACTGCTGTGACTATGCTTTCCTCACCTATTTTACATATATAATTCTGTTGCACTTTTAATCAGTTCACCTGGACTGCCCAAACTCTTCAAAAATATATTAGCCTTGGAAGGTTATCTACTGCCATAAATTGAACCCTAAAAAGTACAGGCAGGGTTTACCATGCATACACTTTTTCTTTAAAGAAAGTCAATACCAGCAATGCTTACAGACCATGTTCATCAACAGATTACTCCACTTGTAGTAATGCGTCTCTCTTTACAGGAAATGCTTGTTCAGGAATGACCTTTTCTAAACTGTGTCCTAAATTACACTGTGACTCAGAGGCCTGCCTGATTTCACAGTCAGATAACTAGCCACCAATAGGGGGTTCACAGCCACTTTAGTCAAAGCAACCCCATAATACAAGCTAATGTTAAGTGTAGTTTTTCAGAGAGGTCCCAGAGCAGCCGAAGACAAGGGCAGCTGTAATGGACTCTCCTCTGTTTAACAGCTTGAAATACTTTCCATCACTCTCCTTAGGTTTACAGATCTCTCTACAAAGATGGAAAGTATTGCTGAGTGTTGAATCTATGGAACTACCCCAGACTTTCTTACCATTCTTCTTCCTGTGCTCCAGGCCATGGTGATGACACTAAAGCACGAATCCAAATTCTCATTTGTGCCTGTATCCACTATGGTTGCACTGCTTCATTCCCTCTATGACTTGGCCTTGTTTTCTATCACAATCTACATATCATTTTTTCCTTTCTCACCACAAAACCAATCACACCCACAAGGTTTATCATACTACTAAACAGCAACACTACTCCATCTGTTTCTTTACTGTCAGAGCAGCTACAGGCTTGAATGTCCAGCCGACCTGCTGTGAAGCGATGGATGCTATTTGCAAGGCATAACCCAGTAACGCCCAGGGTTTTTGTTGGTTTGTTTTGTTTTTTATCTTGAAAGAAGGATGGAAGAGGAACACCAGTGAATAAAATCTAGGCTAATACAACCACGAGGCCAGAGGAACACACTATCTATTTTCTTACTTTCTAAACCAGCAGGGTCATCTAACAGGCTGAAAGCAGTATGGATCTTGGGGTCAGTGAGAGGCTAGTAAGCAGGATTTGAGAGAGAATCACCCTGAAAGACACCTGGTATTAAACTAAACGAAGTTCTGTTGGGATCTTGAAAAGTCACAGATGGGCTGGGGACTTCCTTCTGGGTGGCAGAGGCTTTCTTACCTTCAAGCCAGTAAGTTACCATGTCTCCTTTTCCCTGAGGAAGAGAATGAATAACACCCATCATTTGTGTAATAATCTTCTAATTTCACCTTAAAGTAAGTCCCAAAAGGAAGCTGATGTGCATGTCAGCCATTTTACACATAGGAAAACAGGCACAAAACCTTGCCTTGAAAAACCGTGCTGTAATGGAAGTCCCATTCAAAACTAGTTCCAGATTATAATATTCTTATGGAAGACTAGTCTTATGGAAGTGTTATTATTTATTATTACTAGTCTTATGGAAGACTTCTTATGGAAGTGTTATTATTTATATTTTCTCTTAATTAACATATTTGATTTCAATAAGGAATGACTTGCCAAGTAGTACATCCAAGTTGGGCTTAGTCCCTTACTCTCTGAATTATCAGGGTTGTCCTTTAACAAGGTCCTGATTTAAAGCCTAAGGCCCTCTTTTAAGAGTCAGGAAATAAAACCCACAGATTTTGAGACACAGAGGAGTGCATGGGTTAAAATTCAGGAACTCCAGAGTACTTTCACACTCTCCTCTCTGAAAAGCTGAGTATAAACGTTGCATACACACCTTGACTTGTAAATTCCCACGGCATACTAACACATACTCTCCAATCTGCTCCAACAGCTGGTATGCACTTGAACTGCACTGTATTTTAAGAGCTGGAAAAAGAGACAATTGTCATATTGTTGTAATGATTTAACCATTCAAGACAGACACATATCCCTCTGCATGCCAAAGACTTCAAGGCTCATTAATGAACTTCCTCTTGCTTTTTTCATGTCTTTGCTGTCATTCCTCTGTTATTTGAAATGTTCACACACAAGCTCCAATATCCTGGCCTCTTTGTGAGGGCATCTCGGGACAAATACATGGCTGTCAGCAAACTCTACTCTTCACATCCTGCATCCAATATTATTTTTCTACTCCTCATAGCCACCTGACTGAAATTACTGACAAGCACCCTTTTCATCTAGTGAAGAAAGCTCTACACACGTAGTTTTACATCATGGTTGATAAAAACCCAGCACTGCCTTCACACAAAATGTTTTCAGCAAAGTCTAACCATAAAGGAAAATGCCATTCTTGCTCTGTCTCCAAGCCTGTGAATAAAAACAGGGGTAAGAGATAATACTATGATACTTCCACTATTTCTTTATCTATTTATCTATTTATTTTTGACAATTTTTTTTTTACTTAGCTGAGAAACTTAGGCTGATTGCCTTTTGCAAATGAGAGAACAAAGATCAAAGAGGAGGACAGATAGTATGAGTTCAGAATACTCCTGCTTTTGGGGAAAAAAAAAAAAAGGCAGATTTTTGCACAAAATTTTTTTTTTGCACAATGTGCAAAAATCTGCCCCCAAATCTTTTATTTTCCTTTATTTTTTATTTTATTTTTTATTTTTATTTCTTTTTTTCTTCTTTATGAAATACATACAGAACAAAAAATGAAATACCAAGAATGATGGAAGTAGATTTTGAAATCATCACTTTTAAAACACTTTCAATGAGACCATACAACGAGCCTAAAAAGAGGATGAGGAGAAGAGGAGCTTTTGGGGAGAGTGACGGGAGGAAAAATGCTGCATGTGTTCCACTCTAGCTAGCATTTGCTTTGGAAAAAAATGTTTATAATGGTAAGAAGGAACGGATTTGGCTTGATTCTCAAATCCCCAGGCTAATCCTCCAAAGGCATGATGTAGGACCACTCTTCTGCCTTCCTGCTTTGTTTTTAATGGATCATGCAAAATACTGAAGATCACTTACTATCCTAAAATTAAATTTGACAACACCTCAGATTTTGCCTAATTTATAAATTCATTTTAGAAAGCATCACAATATAAGCCATAAAACTATTTAGCTTCATTTCATGATTGAAAGAAACAAAAACATGGCATCCATGACGTCTGGCCTTGATTCATTCCCTCCTTTTTTATTTTATTTTATTTTATTTTATTTTATTTTATTTTATTTTATTTTATTTTATTTTATTTTATTTTATTTTATTTTATTTTATTTTCCAGTTATTATCGTTCAGGCTAAAATATTTCAGAAGCTGAGATTCAGATACTCGTACTGGCTAAAAATAAAGCTTGTTAGCTGTACATGGGGTCCTGTTATCCCCTGGGAAGAAGTGAGGATACCTCTGTGGTTTAAGGTACAGAGATTTCTGTCTAATCTCTTTTTTTGGGTCTAATCTCTTTTTTTGGGGGGAGGGAGGAAACACATATATAACCTTCTATATTGGCTAAAGACAGACACAGCTCCCTTGGCATCTTACTGTCTCCTGTGTTCTTCATGGAACAAAAGTTATCAATTAAAAATAGGATTCATGAAAATATTTTTCTTATAAACACAGCTGGGTACAAGGAAAGAATATGAACAGTTAACCTACACGTTTAACTCTTTCTTTTATCTTCTCTAAAATCTGATTCTTGTACACCATTTCTTATTGTAGAGAACTGTAAAGCCATGAAAATCCCCCTCTAAGACTTGGGAAATTGAGGGCATGGTTACAAAGGTTGTAGAGAACAACATCTGCAAATTTGGCTACAGAAACCAACACCATCCTTACAGAACTTGCAGTCATTGAAATAGGACAGGACTTGACATTTCTCAGCATAACATTTCTGCAGTACTCATTAAGGGGTGGTCAGAACTGCACCTGCAGATTGCAGCTTGATACCTTCACTGGTAGATTCCATCCTGGAAGCTGTGTTCACAGTATCTCCAAACAAACAATACCGTGGCATTTTGGTCCCAACAACCCCAGCTACAACTGCCCCTGTTAATAAAATAAAATATGTTGTGTTTTCAAATCACATACTTAGCCACGGAGCCTCCTGGCTGCTTCCTACATTTCCTTATATCCCATTTATTAACATGATAAGGAAGAAATGGCAGTACTATCTTGGATGGATTATACATCATGTTTGCAGATGGCTTGCAGAGAGCCATGAAGGGAATGGCAAAAGGACATCAAAAGAGAATAGTGGAGGAAGTAAGGATGGGATGGACGTATCATGCATGAGTTTCTGCACCTGCAGAAATCATTTTTCAACACTACAAAAGAATATTTTGTAGGACAGGGAGATAGGAATGCTCACAGTAGGAGCTGCCCACAAAACATCCTCTAGTCATATGGAAAAGTGAGAATAGGAAACAACCTGCTCTTGCTGACGGCAGAAAATGACCATGTGCTTCAAATATTAGTTTTGATTGCTTCATGTCAGCCCCAGGGGATTTGAAATGCAGAAGATCTGATCTTTGCTGAGATAACATAAGCCACTCAACTTGCAGATGATGAGCTGCACAATACATGTCCAACTCTGTCTATCAAAAAGGAGCTGCAATCACATATCAGCTTAGCGCAGGGAGCCAGGAGTCTGAGAGCAAAGGCTAGAACAAAGACTGAAGAAGCAACTCACTGTTCTGAGAACAGAACGGATGAAAAGGACAAGTAACAGACACACAATGCAGTCCACACTTAGATCAGTACATTAAAGTACTGGGGCCATGCTGTCTTTCCAGTTTTGGATTCCACACTGTTTTCCCAAAGTTGCATGTACCCAATAACCTACTCTGCTGGTATGACCTCTATAAGGTGCTCCATCCCATGTCAGGAAATTTGCTTCATTTTTAAATGGAGAGGAAATGACAGTACAGAAACATTTGTTAAACCAGAGGGGGATTCTTTCACAGCCCTCTCAACATACCTGAATGTATTCCTGCTCTTATCTTTAGGAGGGTGTTGGGCTTGTGTGGGATCTTAAATGTCTTGCAGACGGCCACAAGGTCTAAAGCCATGCTTGCGATCTCTCCGGCATGAAGGATCCCATTCTCTCTGGGTACTCCTGACACTACCATATCTTTAAATAACAATGGAACTGTGTTAACGTTTGAATTACACACATAATTACCAGTTGCTGCTAAGTTAGAAAAAAATAAAAGCACTATTTCTTAATATCCTGAGGCACAGCTATACCTGCTGTGCAGAGACAGACAGAAACAAGAAGTACAGAGCAACATCTCATGTATGTAATTACACTGCCTCTGAAAAACAGTGGATTTCGATCTTACTTGTCATAAGGCATATCCCTCTCTCCCTCTCCTGAGGATCTTTGGATCTTTCAAATGGGACAGATATTGGGCAAGTGGCTGCTTAATACCTTTTGTCTTTGGGTATATGATTCCCACCAGACTCTGTTCTATACCTACTGGCAGCGACTCTTACTATGTGGGTGAAGAAACATGTCTCTTCAGGATTCCTCAGGTGCATTTTTTCAAGAATTCTGTGCTCTATAAAGAGTTCAATCAAAAATCTAGCTTTTTTTTGTTTGTTTGTTTTGTTTTGTTTTAATTCTCCACCAGCTAAAGAATTCCTGTTTGTCTCATCCAAAACTGCTGGATTCTGCTGGGTTTTGGATGAAACTCAGCTATAATGGTAGTCAGGTGCCAGAAGGTTTCTATAATGGCAATTAAAATGCTGTTTTCCTAAAAATCCAAAAGGAATAGGTAGCCAAACCCACATAGACTATTGCTGTCTTTGAACAAAGACAGATATAGTATAGCTTAGAGAATGTCATTTATGTTCCCATGCAGAAGATAAACTTTTCAGTCTTGTTCCTGTGAAACAGAAATTTCCAATTGGGATTAGTCAGTTGCCAAGGTTTAAATTCAGACCTTGCAGGTCATAGGAACGAAATAAACATCAGGGATTGTTCACTCAGCCCAAACATCCCATCCATTACATTCACCAACTGTAGAACTGATTAAATGTATGTAGGAAAATGTTCCTAAAGACTGCTAAGGCTGTGCTAGGACTTCTGCCCCGATTGTTTTGTGTCTTCTCAGTGGCAATAAGCTTTGCAAATCTCCTTCACCTGTTCTTAATTGTCATCAGTCTCTACGCTGATGTCCCATCATTGTCCACAATTCAAGGAACTTACAGGCATCTCCTATTGTCTCCACCTTATAGACATCATAGTTATCTATGATTTCATCAAAAGCGGTATAAAGCTTGTTCAAGAGATCTACCACTTGATAAGGTGTGCTGCTGCTGGAAAGCTGAGTGAAGCCAACTATGTCACTGTAAAACACAACAAAAAGCACATAGCCACTGTCTTAACCACAACAAACTGATAATCCCAGGCACACAGTAATAATTTCTCAATTGAATTAACTCAACATTTTTTTTGTGTGTTTTTTTTTTTTTTTTTAGTATTTCTTTGGCTGAGGATCTTACAGAATAGTTATATCTTCAAACATTTGCTTAAAATGAAAATAAATGCCTCCCATTTAAAAGGACTGACTGAACTAAGTCTTTCTGCTTACAAATGGAGTAAACTGTCTTTTTCGTTGTTGGTGGTAGGGTTTGTTTGTTTGTTTTTACAGCTAGACTTTAATCTCTCAAAGACTACTAGTCTTCAATTTTAGTTTATGTACAAATGAAGAAAGATAACTTAATAGCTATCCATTTATAACAGGTGAAGATGTAATACAGTTGTTGCTTCTAGCACACATAACCACACCAAGTGTCAAAACCTGTAAAGGTAAGTGGACTCTATGCAAAGATATGCTTCCTCTATATAGCTAAATGCTGGAACCTTTACTTAGGCCTATCCTGTGTAATACATACATAGAGTGATTTTAGAGCTCCGCAGTAGTCTTATTTTTTATCTGCATTATTTTAATGAAAAAAATAAAAATGTGAGAATTTTGAAAGGCATTCATTTGCAGAGCCAAATGTTGCCACCTGATACAATTAGTGGTGTTTTGACAGAGATTCAGTGCTCAGCTAGGAGCTTCACCTCTGCTAAGAGCCTAGACGTTTCTTCTGGAGTCATTTCCATTAATATATTCCATTTTTATTTACCTGAAAAAGATGGTGGCACTTAAGTAACTTTGAGCTTGTGCACGTTTTCCCTGCCTGAGATCATCTGCTACTTGCTTTGGCAACATACCTGTTATAGAAGGTAGCATACTGTTACTATTTTGACATGGATAAAAGAACACAGCAATCATAACATGCTTGTTTAAAGGTATGAAAACAATGTTATTAAAGGTGAAATATTTTTAAGGATAAAACAGCCCAGCAACAAAATTTACTGTGAATTCTCACCTTACAAAATATTGCAAAATATTACAAAATATTGTAAGGTGAGAATTCACAGTAAATCTCACTGATAACAAATTCAGATTTTCCAGATGATCCGTGATTTTTGGTTAAGATAAAACAATATCTATACAATCCAAGCTTGTTTATTATCTCTTAGATTTTCTTGATCTTCATTATTTCTCTGATCTTGCACTTTCATGTCCTTTTCCTTTTCCTCTCCTAAGAGTTCTGCCTATTCCACATTTCTTTTATCCTGAGGAATTCCAGAATATGTACTTCCATTAAAAGTAACATCAATCCAAAAGCAATTCCCCAATATTTACAACTATACAGAAGGACTGCTAAACAAGACAAAAATAAGCCAGTGTATTGCGGATTATCCAGTCAAAGACTCCCGATATTGACTTTTACTGGAGGGAATATAAAAAGCATTTCAATGTCTTTTCAAATGTGCAAGGAATATATGCATCAATTAATCACCAACTAAACATTATTTATTAAATAATCACCTATTAAGGCATTTCTCTGTTTGTAATCATAAATTTAAAATCAAATATTATTGAGAAGAATATCCAGCTTTTTTTTGCTAGAAAACTTACTATACAGCAGACGATCAGTCTTCTGTTTTTCATGCATTAAATCCTGAGTTCTCTCAGAAACCAGTATCTCCAAGTGTTTGCTATATTTCTCCATCTAAATAACATGGAGAAATGTACAAAATAATCCATTTACTGAAACAGATTACAGTAGTATTTGAGATATAAGCATTTGAATGATTTTGCTTTGAAAATATTTAGATAAGCAAAGGCCCAGGTCTGAGATAACTAAAGTTTCTTTAAAAATCCAAAGACAAGATTTCTCCACAGGTAAATTCATGATTCCAGATTTTAAATTGTTGCTTATACCTAAGAGGGTGGACATCAATCCTAGAGATTTCAGAGTCTATGTAAAAATTAGAGGACAAATCCAATACAGAGACCAAGTTACAGATGCATATTAAAATATGTTACCAAAACCGAAGAAGCATGTAATTCTCAACCTTTTGTCAAAATATTAAAAAGCTCTTTCATAAACTTTCTATGCTTCCTGTGCTATGCTATGCTATGTTTTTTGCATCCTTCCTCCATGGAAGGCAACAAACTGTGGAGACAAGAGACTTTTTTTTCTCCTGGTGGGCTTAAGATGCTCAAAATGCATCTGTAAACATACTTGTGGTATGCAGGGATTCTATACCCCCAGCTCTGTAAAACCACCTCAAAGGGAGGCTGTAATTTCCTGCAAGTGCATAAAAAAAACAACAATGGCATTTGAATGAAGAAACAAAAGTGTTCCACTGTAAAGTTGAAAAATTTAAGAACTGACAGAAATGGGATGAGAAGGAAAAATGGGCCTCAACAGAACTGCAGCTTTTTTTTTTTTTAGCTCAAATTACAATTAATCTGCTAGAGGTGAGTGAATGACTGAGTGTTCTTATCAAATATAAATGAGATCAAACAAAACAAAACAAAACAAAAAAACAACACATACACAAAACCCCACACCAAACAAAACCGGAAGTAGAGATGTGGAGACCATTGTAACCAGATTAATTTGAACTGGATTAAAAATCTAAAATTACCAGAGTCATCATCATGTCAACAGGGCTAACTTTATTAGGATTCATCTTGTATAACATTTTCTTGACTTGTTCAAATGTAGGTCTTTGGACTGGATTATTTTTTCTGCACTTTCTGATTAGCTGTGACACAGAAAGAGAATGAGAGAAACAAAGAGCCTTTTGTCATTTCATGCACTGGTATTTCTTTCTTGGTGCTAAAAATGTGTGTGAAGCCCTATCTACAGCTTGTGAAAAACAATGGGACTATACTAAGGTCTTCTGAATCTGATATATATCTAGATATATATAGAGAGATACATATATATATATATATATATACACATATATAGATAGATAGATATGATATTATATCATATCTATTATATCATATCATTATATTATATCATATCTTATCTTATATTATATTATAATATATCATTATATTATATCATATCTATCTATCTATATATGTGTATATATTTATATGTATAACTGAATGAAGAATGTTAGTTCATGAAAATTCAGCTAGGGGAAATCATTAAGTAGATGTTCACATTCCTCCTGCCAAACTCTGCTTAAGCTCTTGTCTTGTGTTTTAAGATATTGTTATGCAATTGGAGTCACATGAAGACTTGTCTGTACAAAATATTCACAAGCATTTAAAAACTCAAATACATCTTTAAAACATTAACTTCCCACTGAAATCCAATACTGCTTATAAGAAGCTTGATACATTTAGGTTGCTACAAGCCACAGAAGATTAATTATTTAGTTCTTAAACTGAAATAAGGATGTCACAATTTTGTCCTGGTTTAATTGAACAGAGATGGAGTGAGGTTTCTTTTTAGTCAGTTTGAGGTTACCAAACACAGATCTTTTGCATGAGAATCAAATTGAATTTATACTTTGCCTGAAACATATACGTCAGAATTTGAAAGCACTTCATCTGTAAGCTAAGCAGATATAACTAATATAAATTACGCGTGTAATCAACAAGTAAAATAAACTGAAATTGCACACAAATCATGACTGAATATTAAGAAAAAAAAAAAGGAAAAAAAAAAAGATTATTACACTGAAAATTTGAGGGGAAAAATTGACTTTTTTTTTTTTAAAAAAAAAAGGGTATTAAAGCAATTTCATTGTGCTTTGTTTGAGATGTGCTTCTTGATTTCTAAGTTGGTTACATTCATTGCCATGAAAGTTCAGTCACATTTCTTAAGTGTACTTCAACAAAGAATTTTTGTATGTAATACTATATCTCACCTCTATGTAATCTGTGGGACATGGGCAAGAATTCTCAGCCTTCCGTGAAATTAGTTCTGCCAAAGGCAGACACCAAGAATATTCAGCTGAATGCACATCATCTTTCTAGAGAAAAAGGGATTAAACAAAGTTGAAAAAGTGTTGTGTTTTTATCCTTTTGACAATAAATTATTGTGATCATCATTACTTTTATGACAATTTCCCATCAGCAGAAGATCACTTATATTTTTAAATAAGAGAACAGAGAGAAAGAAACTAACAATAATAATAATAATAATAATAATAATGATGATGTATATATATATATATATATATATATAAAGTTCAGTCTAATCTAAGCAGCCTTGTTTATAAACTTTTTCATAGGTGGAAGGGTTCAGTCTCAGTATTTGCACCAGGTAAACTAAAAATTAATACCTGGCAAGACATTTGGTGACTTTTGAGAATCTACAAGATCTTTGTTGGTCTGTTGTCACAAACCCCTGGAAGTGGAAGAATGTTCGTTTTGAGTTTTAGTTTTTAGAACTATCGTTGTGCAAATTATTTCACACAATACATTGTTACGTGTCCAGAACCTCTGGTCTCACTTTCAAGGCGCATGTTTTTGTTTGTCACTTAGGACTGATCATGAGACACACACAAAGATGACATTTTCCTTATAAGGAGGTCAGTTGCTCTTTAAAGATATTCTTACCAGTGCAATACTCCACTGAAAGTGTGTGAATGGCAGGAAGGGCAAGAAACAACTGCAGACGAAGAAAGATGCTAAGGCATATCTTTGTCCTCACATTTAATTTCAGAGAGCTGACACAAAAAGCAATTTTGGAAGTACACTTATTTTCTTCATACACACTTCTTTAAAGTCCTGTTAGGTTTACGTGGAAGCCCTAGTTGCATGTTCCTTTGGAACTGAATTTGCACCACAAAAATCAAGAGGAAAATGGATGCTTAAACAAACAAACATGAAAAAAAGGTACAGGTGCTCAGCATTTGATTTGTATCTTCAGCAGAAACAGAATTAAAATTACCAGGCAGACATCAAAGTTCACCTTTACTTACTGGCATAGGGTCACTTCTTGTAGCAATTTCTAGTAAAATGATGGCATAACTGCAGAATAAAAGGAAATCAAAATCTTAATGAAGTAACAGCTAATGGAGACAATGATTTTAACTTGTGGGGATTTCTCATTCTTTCCCACTTTACGACTGAAAGCTCAGTATCCCAAAAGAGAGGATGGCAACTTTTCTGCTGTTACTTCTCTGCGTTTTTGGAGATACATCACTGATAATTTAACAGTAAGCTACTTGCACAGTTACCATTCTCAGAGATGAAGCATTTGAGTTTGATGGACAGCAAAGCAATTTTCTCTGGAATTTAATAGAATCCGGAAGGGATATGTGCAGGGACTACATTTCACCCATGTATTAAACATACAGAACATATCTGTGCTCTAATCAATGGGCAGGAGCAGGTTCATCAGAATCATCATCAAGAAGAGTGGTCCCTTTTTCAGCATAGATCACTGTTCTGGAAAATCTCCATAAAGTTAACAATGAGACACAGTGTGCAGAGCAGACTGTATACAGAACAAATTTTTCCTGCTTCTTTCTGAGTGATATTTTCATCATTGACATCTTCCTTACATGAACCAAGGTTAAACACATTCATCAAGGGTGAAGAATGGAAAAAATGGGTTAATGACTTTGTGTTCAGTCTTGTTGCTGAACTCACAAGAGATCTTTTGGAACAGTGATCTCTGAGAAGCCAACAACTCCTCCAGCCAGCAATACTGATAAAGCTGTTCTTGCCTCTGTGTATTCAAACTGCGTAACAAATAACACACTATATGCTTCTTTTCCTGAATACATTTATTCTTATGGGGAAAACTGCTTTGCAATTTGTTGTATTGCTAGTGGTTGCTTTGCTCAGCATGGCATCCTAGCCATACAATGGGTATGGCTATCTATCTTCTGTACTACTGGTAGCACACCACTACCAAACAGAATCGTCTGTATAAACCATATTGAATAATGTAGAATTAATCTGATGAGATTTTTATGTTCTTTTGGGGGGTGATTTGGTATCAGAAAGGATTACCAGTCCTGGTGAGACAGCGAAGCTCAGATTTTTCATGGAGAATGATTAAATGATGGTAACTCCAAGAAAGCAGTATTGATTTCATTCATCTTTAGCAGCAGTGTTCAAGAAAGGTCATAACAGAGCGGAAAGTGAGATTCACATAACCATTACAAATCAAGAGAAGCCAATCTAGGAGAAACTGTGACTGGAAACAGCCACTTCAGCTTGATTAGGAGGTTCTTTCATGTTCCCGTTCTCATTTCCATTTTAGCTTTCCCATCTGACCAACACATTCCCTGGAGAACTTTAAAAGCATATGATTCATCTGTAAAAGCACACAAAATTACAAAACCTGCAGTCTCTGCTCTTTCTTTATTTGGGCCACATCTTCAGGAATGTTAATGGAATTTTTGCACAGGAATTTTTGACACTGAGGATTTCAAGACTAGGTCACTACTTCCCAGTTGGTGATCCCACACATTTATCAGGAAGGCTTACCACTTGCTCGTATCAATGAACACAAACTGTGATAAAACACAGAGTTTGAAGAATAGCTCAGTTAAATAGAAAAACTTGTTAATACTACAGGGTACTTTTTATTCAGTCTCTTTTTCTTCATCTTCTTCCCTGACTTTATATTTCGTCTCTTTTTGTCTTTTTTTTTTTTTTTTTTTTTTTTTTTTACCAAGCAAGGATTATCTGCAGTACAATAAAGAGACCTGCATTTTTCAGACACAAGAACTGACAGCAAGATAGGTTCAAAAAGCATTCATTAAACCTGTCAAAAGTTCATTGTGTATTCATCTATGATATGAGAAAATCAGCTGTTAACACTATTTTAAGAGGAGTCCTTGGCAATAAATGGTTTCAGGAGGCCAGGTTGTCTGCAAAGTCAAGTAATGTCATCTAACCTGAATATGGGCAAAGAGTAAACCAGGCAAGCAGCAAGGAAATAACATTTCCTGGAAAATAGAATGCTTTCTGAATGTGGAGCAATGATAAGTTTCAATGCATAAGATGACTTTAAAATTACTGCTTAGTTGGAGCACAGTTTTGAAGACCAGTCAATACTGAAAAGTAAGGACCTCCACAGGACAGAACAACAATAGCCAAATATATCAACATAGTGACAAACTGCTTTTAGATTGGCTATTTTGAAGCAAATTAAAATGGCATATTTGGACCACCCATAGATATAAAAACCAACCAAACAAGAAAAACAAACCACTACAAAGACCTCAAATTCTTATTTACACAATCTGACCTGATAGAATAGATTAAAATAATAAAGTTCTAGCAGGTATCGTTATTGTATATGCACACCAGGGAATAATGTACATGAATCCAATAAATCTTGTGTTTATATACAAAATCACATCTTCATCCTACATAATTTTTAATGTATCCTAATTGAAAAAAAAAATTAAACAACGTTTTCTGTTTCTGTAACTAAATTTTCAGTAAAAGCCCTGCAACAGACACTTAAGGCCATAAGCGTTTATTGTGGGCCAGTGTAGAACTCAGAATGTTGTTAATAAACACTGCTAATAACTATCCTTTTCTACTCAATCTCCATTTCATATCTTTGTTTGAATTCCAGTAATTTATGTTCTGCTAGCTACTAAATTTGCCAGATTTTGCAGATTTGCCAATCTGCTGTACTGGAAAAAGGGAAAAAAAAATGGGGGGGAGGGGACATAAAAATTTTGTAGTCCCATCTGTTCTATAACTTCTCCTTTGAACTTCTTTTACTTAACTACTGGAAAGAGGAAGTATCACTGTTATGAAACAGCACAGACCAAGAACACGGTAATGTTTAACAGAGAAAATATGTGGGAAAAGGAAAAAATATTGATGATTTTTTAATGCAGTACGATACTTTTTTATTAGATTATTATTCTCTGAAATTTCAATAGTAATCCTGTTTATCTGAAGAGTGGTTGGATCTCCTTTATAGGAGATCACTTTGCAACAGCTTGTTTGGCTGACAGGTTTAGCCTGCCATCACTGACAAGGCAAAACTTGATAGCCAAATAAGTGATTGCAATGATCTTCCACAAAGATTTTCAGGAGAGGGACTGACCAATTCACTTGTACATTCATTCTTTTTCTAGCTCTAATTGTTCTCTGCAAACAGAACATTGTCACTGTGTGCATGCAGAAAAAAATTAAGTGTTTACATAAATTATAGAATGATGGAATGCATAAACATATTATGACTCCTGTAAAATTGATGCCATTAACTAGTTTTAATATTGCCATTATTGAAAATCCTTTTTTAAATGCAATCAAACATACCCCTGGGATGATCACAGAATTACACTGAGACGAATAGTGATGAAAGAATATTAGACTTGAGATGGGATTATTAAGTGAGAGAAACAGGAAATTACCTGTAGACGTCTGTCATAGAATTGGGTTCAAAGTCTGAAAGTGAATGGATTTCAGGAGCTATGTAAACCTGTATAAAGTGCTGCTGGTATGAGCTCGACCCTTCAGGAGAATCTTCTTTTCTGTATGACTGCAAGCCATAATCTAACATGGAAGAAAACAAGAAATAAAACTGTTCAGCATTTCTCAGAACACACATGAATCGGTATACAGTGACACAACTTGACAAAGGAATTAATTTTTCCTCTTTGAAATACTTGTCTCTATCTAAAAATGAGGTGTGCCTGGTGGCCTTTTGTCTATTAAAAAAAAAAAAAAAAGTAAGATCTGGACAGCAAATATTTGGATGAGATTGTTTAACAGCCTTTTGAGTAGGACAGTTAAAATAAATGGCCCCTTCCAAGAGGAATTATTCTACCATTTCATAAAACTACCTTCAGACACAGTAGGCTCCCTTCAGTGCAAGACTTAGTATGCAAATGTTGATTTCTGTTCTACTCATCCCCCGATCCTCATCTGTGGCAGGTTGTTAGAGTAATTACAAGTTAGACAGACTAAAGCTACTAGAAATCAGAGGGTGAGCTTTACTTTCACACCACTAGCTTGAGAAAAAAGGCAGATAAATGTGAAACATCTTTGCAGCTATACTTTCAGCTTAACACAGAAGAGGCTCTCAACATCTGACCACATTGTAGAGGAGAAAAAAAAACACAACTGACATCTGTTTTCCTAGACTCAGCTGTCTGCAGAGTGTAGGGGGGCAGGATTAAAATCTCTGACTTTTTTATGGAGTGACCTCTGTTAAGATGGTCCTAAAACTTCATTCTTTATGTTAGTGCTTATTGGAGTTTTTCTATTAGTCACCATATCAGTTATTTGTGAGGTTTGTTTTACATTATAAAATCTGAATAAACCAAGATTATTCAAATTCTCTACAGTGTTACCAGGTAACTTCTCAATGATCCCACAGGGACCTCATCTAATTCAGACAAGAAGTGCTAATATGATGCAGTTGATATAGTCTAGCTATCTCAATTTTTTTATGTTTTTCCTCAGGAAAGGAGCAAAGCAAATATTCCTGCAGGCAGAAGGATAATAACAGAGGTAGAGAAGCAGCCATGGCCTTGTGTAGGGCCTGTACTCTTAGGATGAACCTTTGAAAGATAAATCAGTTGCTGTTGTTTTTAAGATAGCTGCAGGTTATAGAGTGTAATAACTAGTTTGGGAAGTGAGTAGAAGAGATGAACATAACTTCCATTCCCTCTGGCAACTGCAGAATAAAACACTGTTTTCTCTACTGGTTTTCATGCCCCCATAGACTGCCCTCCTGTACCAGGAGCAGGACAGATCTATAGCTCCATCTGTCGGAGAATAAAATTCGGTTTTGTTTACAGGACTGCAAAGCTCTGTGTCGAGTCTGCTTCTCTCTATAAACACAAATCTTGTGTTCACCAATCAGAATTATTCCATTCTTCATAGTGAAGTCCATGGTTAATGTTTTTGCTCTGCATCAAAACTGAGATTGAGACAGAGTTTCTGCTCAGATTGATGTTGATAGACTCCAACATTTAAGGGATCTGATGTGTGCATCAGGAACAAGTTACAGGAGAGACTTGACATCATAATGTAACATGAAGCTTGAATCAGCACAGGGAACTTTTAGTGAAGGCTGTTAAAGTCGGCACTTCCACAAAAACTTCACATCATGATGAAAGTGCTTGTGAAGAGTGTTCAGTGTGAAATCTACATGCATTAGTAGGTTACCTGGACAGTTTTGAAATTTCATTTATCTTCTCTTTACCTGCAATTTTACAAACCCATCGGTCATCTATCACACAGTTATTAGACTTCAACCGTCCATGATAAATTTTGTGGTGGTGAAGATAGGCCATTCCTTGGGCAATGTCAGTAGCAAAAGAAAACCTGAAAGACAAAACCCAATGAGCTAGCATTTCCACTAAACCAGATCTTCACTCAAGAGTGGGTACAAAGCCTACTGAAGCTGACCAAAAGGCTCCTCATGAAAGGTTTCTCATGACTGAAATATTTCTGAAATCTGTTACTACATGCCCATTTTTCAGAACACTTAAAGTGGGTGGCTGAAAGCCCTCAACTCTAAATTGTCTGGATTCAAGGTCTTCAGCCTTTACTAAGACAGTTCAGTTTACTCTAGAACTTCTAGAACTTTCCAGTATGTTTGTATTCTTGCAAGTTCTTTTCAAATGTTTACAAAAGAAACATATTTTTATTAACTTTCTCACTTTTTTGGAGTGTTTCCTCCCATATACTCTTTTTGTTTGCTGAAGGCAAAAAACAGGCAGAAGTAAAAAGAGCATGCCAAAAAGATTATTCTCAAAAAATGATAGAAGTGCCTTTGTGGAAGTTTCATTAGGATCCTGTGCTCATTTTCTATATCAGGAAATAAAATAAAGTATTGGGAGATATGCTAATCATTTCACTTAGGTGCCTTTATGGTGCTTTTTAATTAATTGCAGATGTCCAAGATATTTGGAGAAAGGATGAATGGAAAAGGGGGGTTGAGAACAGTTTTACAGAATAAACAGGGGTGGGTTTACAGAATAAACAGGGGTGTCGAAAAGTCATTGGCTTAGCATGACTTGCACTCAATGTACAATTGCTCAAAAATTCAGAAGACAAGACTAGATATTTGAATTCACTGTCTTTCTTTTTTATTCTCACCATATTACAGTGTAGGTCTATCTCTCCAAGTACTTCATTTATAATTAGAATATTGTCACAAACAGCACATAGCATCTATCAGCATAGTTTGCATCTTTTAGGTTTTCTATTTATTTATTCATTTTTATTTTTTTTTTAACTTTTACCTGAATCCCCAGTTCAATGGGATGTCTTCATTGAGCAGAACATCACTCAGGCTGCCTTTGGGGCAGTACTCTGTCACTATGGCAACATTTGGCACTTCTATACAACCACCAATGAATTTGCAGAGATTGGGATGGTCGAGTTCCCTGTGAAAATTAACAGAAAACACAAGACATCACAAATTTTTGTGGATGTCCCTCCTAGTTTTTGTAGAGTAATGGGAAAGCCAAATGCTTTGTCTTGAAATATATAAAGAAAAACAAAACAGTCCTAAGGAGATTTCGATCTAGTGTCAAAGCAAAGTTTGAAAAAGAGTATGAATTTATTGTAACCTTTGGACAGATTGTAATGTCTAAAGAACCAGTATAAAAATCAAATAGCATATGCTTCTCAGGTTTCCCTTCTTACCTTACTTGCTTTACTTCCTTACGTATGGGTTTGGTCAGGGTGAATGCCTTCTTCATTATTTTCTTTATGGCCACTGTTCTACCATCACTGAAACAGAATGAAATGCTGTTCAGAGAGTTTTAGGCCAACTTTATAACTTCATAAGGCTAGGAAAATGGACCAAATATATTTTCCAGAGTGGGCAGCGAGATGAAGCAGGGAATTTGAGCATTTCCATATGCAGGTGTGAATCTGAGTCTGAGTAAATGACAAGGCTCTGCTTCCATGATAAGGGAGGCATTAGTGCTTATATTCAAGCATCCTTGATCTGTGTATGCCATTTGAAACATGAGAGTGTTAGAATCGATTTAGGCAGCTGGATGATAGAGTAGCAGCAAAGGAAATGTCAGAACAATATCCCTGCTATCCGTTATTTCTCTGTCTACTGCTTTGGAGATCCACCACTGATATTTAACATCCTTCTGCTCTCATGGGATGAAGGACTCTATGCAATGAAGCATCTGAGCTTGACAGATAGCAAAACAATTTTCCCTTATAAGAATCCACTGAAGATGTATGCAGGAACTTAACTGATGCCTCCCGTATAAATACACTGCCAATCTTCATTTCAAATAACCTAGCTGTGCTCTACATGCATTTTAGAAACAGGGCTACATCAAAACCTTGATTACAAATATATTTTAACAGTAGACATCATTCATTAACAGATGTGAGACACATTATACAGTCATACCCATATAACAAGTCCGGAAAAGGAAAGGAGAAATGATAATAAAACCAGACTCCATCATGTTACACTTTCTACAGCCAGTAAGTGGTACAGAAGTCAAATGATGATATTAACTTACTGGATTTCATGTAACAAGAGAAGCACAAGCTTTTTGGGATACCTATTGACAGCAAAGTTGCATGAACCAGAAAGCATGGTGAAACAATAGGATAATAGATATTGCAGAAAATGAGCAATATATTAACTTACTATCTCCCAGTCTGGGTGAAGTACAGTTTCTTGGACGCATTAGCAGCTGCTGTGCAGGAGCTCAGAGCAGTGATACAGCTGATATTGGATTCACTAGGTGTTGGGAGAGCACTCATCATGCTTCCTGTTGCTGCCCCTGCTATGGAATCTAAATGAGATGTGCGATTAGTAAAGGCAGCTGAAGATGAATATTATTACCAAGGTAGAGACTCCAGAGGCAGACAAATATAAGGAAATTTCTAAATCTTTGCATGCAGAACTGGTCTTGTTAATGTGTAAGACAGAAAGACATATTTTTTTCAGAATGCGACTACTGCATAAAAAGTCAAAACACCTCCAGAGGTGATGCACTGCCAGAGATCTTTCCAATTAAACCTCAGCATTGTATGCAATTTTCTCTGCTCTCAGTATGATCAGCCCTTGCTGGATGGAGATCAGCCTTCTGGTTACAGAGATGCAAAGGACAGAACCCAGGGAAGCAGAGCAAGCTCTGTGCCAGATTTTAACAAGTCTATTTGGAGCTCCTAGAGGACTGTAGAGTACAGGGATGTGGGAAGTGATTCTGACACCAAAAGGAAGTCAGTGAAGAGCAATAATACAGTTAGATATAAAAATCAGTAATCTCAACATTTTCTTTATTTTTATTTATTTATTTATTTATTTTTAATCTGTTGACCAGCTCAAGGTAAAAAAAATGTGTTTCAAAGAAGATTTAATGAATTACTTATTGTTTCACCATCTCCACCTGGTATGGCCAATTACTCTCAGCAACTCTCCCTGGTATCATCAGTATGCAATAAAGTGCTGCTGAGGAAGTTCAGCATCTCATCTTGCATCAGGACTGTCATGTTCCCACACCATAGTATTATCCACATGCAGTTCAAAACTGCATTGACATTTGGAGTTTTTCAATGGCATTCCACTTAGAAATATATTAGAGATCCCTGAGATAACTCTGATAATATAAATATAGGTGCAATGGTCCTTAAGAGGAGTAATTTTTCACAGCACAGGCTACATACCCTGGCTGCAACACTGCTGATGTATTTCCATCTAAATAACTGTACATTTCAGGCCACTGTGGCTATTGCTGGATAACTCTGTTTGGAGGAGACGTACGGTCTATTTCAAAGTCTCTTCATGTTATCAGTGCTCATTACTCTAAGTTGTTAGTTATTTTCCTAGCTAGGTCTTAAACAAGGAGGTATTTAAAAGATGTTTAGATGTAGAGCTTAGTGATACGGTTTCATGAAGGAATTGTTAGTGTTAGGTCATAGGTTGGACTTGGTGATCTTGGAGTTCCCTTCCAACCTAAATGATTCTGTGATTCTATGATTCTGTGATTATTGTTGTTTTGCAGATTATTAAAAAAAAATCATTTTGAATTCTTAAAATTAATTGCAAAGCACTTTTTTAAAATCATGTATCTCATTTCCCATAGTTTCTCTCTATTGTTTCTCCTCCTTTGTGGTGTTTATGACCTCTTATAATTGACTAACAGATGAAAATCTACTCATGTTCCTTTTTTACATATCAAAAGACACTTGTCCTTGAAAGTTCTACTTCCATTTTTACAAAATTGGATTGAAATTCATTTTATGTACACAAATTAATTTCTAAGCCAGTCTGTTCTTGACTACAACAAAGATTTCGTATTAAAACTACACAGAAATTAATGTTCAAGTCCAAGGCTGCAAGTATTTCTACTACATTAGCACAATAATGTCTTGGTATTTCTACTAGCAGCATGATGACATAACACAGCTAAAGCTGATATCTTTCTAGCAATACCCCATAGAGACAGAAAACAAGAGAGTATATACAGACCTACCAACTTCAGCAAACTACAGATTTTCCTCTTCTGAGGGTCTAGGCACTGCTTTCCTCCTCAGTGCTAAAGCACTGAACAGCAAAGTGAATCGTATAATCTATATTTATTTTAAGTGCAGCATAGTAAAAGATAAATATCATCTCATTTTATTCATAACATGTTTAGTTACAACAATTTTAACATTTATTTTATATCCTGAAGGTAAAAGGAAAAACAAAACAAAACAAACCACCTCAGGTCTCAATGAATTACTTTTTGCAACAAAAGTGCCAGAGTTCTCAGTATTCACTGAGAAAAATGGAGATCTTTCATTCTATTTGTGCAAATACAGAACAAACTAGTGAGGCCAATTATACAAATTCATGTATCCACTGAAGCAAGTATAATTTATTTTATCCAAGTCCAGAGGTTATCTGTTTATTTTGGGATAAGCCTGTCTTTTTAAATTGACACATCACCATAAATAAGAAAGAAACTAAAATACCTTAGATAACTAAGGTTTCATTAAGGAAAAATGCCAGTAATCAGCTCAGAGAAGTTACAGAAATTAATCTTTGGATATGTCTTTCACAAATTTGTACACCTTTTGCAAGACCATTAAAACATGATGTAATTATGATTTAGATTATTTCTTAAAGTTATTAATGAAACTGATAATAGTAACAAAATGACAAGTTACTGACCTTGTTTGATGCATATGAAGTCTATAATCCAGCTCTCGTCCCAAAACAACTTTTGTTTCTGATATTGAAACCACTACAAAAATAAATAACATTCATTCCAGATGTAGCTCTACTGATTTTGAACGAATTCATCTAGAGATTTATTTTTTTTAATATGAAAATTTATAAGTATCCCTCAAAATTATGATGTTTAAGCATACAATATACATCGTACGAGTAACATTAGAACTAATATTCCCAGAGGAAAACAGAATCTAAGATATTTGAAACAGTGTATTCCGTACTCTGGAATATAATGACATGTAATACTTTGCATTGGCTATAAACTCTTTTCATTATTGTCAATACTTCTTATGCAGTGTATTTAGATCTCAGACTGGACATCAAATGAATTGTGTACATCACCTCATGCCATGGAAATTTCATGTGCTGCCTAAACACATGAATACAAGAATCACTCTAGTGCTCAGCCTCAAGAAAACTGTCAGTACATATTGTACCCTGTAACAAAATTACAGCCTGACCAACAAATAAGACCATGTTATGTCAAATACTCTAGCATAAAGAATATTAGATTGGGAATACTGATAATCGGCTATTTCTTAAAGAAGATATAGGTCTTATAAATAGCTGATTTGCTATATTTGCAAAACAGATATAAAAAGTGTAAATAATTACTTTCAAAAGATGAGCAGCAGATTAAATTACGTAGCTGCATACATGCAATACATGCAATCAATACCAAAATAGCAAACCAAGGCCACATTTCACCATCACTATACCATTTTATATACTGTAGAATTGAACATTAGAAATTATGAATTCAGTGAAATAAGTAGCAAAAGTCCTGATAATACTCAAGAAACATGGTGTGGAGACTGTGCCCATATTTTGGCAGAAATTTATGACTGCTATTGAGCTCATTAAATAATAACAAAGTCATCCCATTTATTTCAAAGGGTTTCTGAGAAAAGATATCTACATTTTATCTTGTAAAGGTATGACTGAACAAAGACACATCAGCTAGAAGTGACCACTATGCTTGCTACAGACACTTAGATCAAAGGAATCCTCTCCTTTGCTTGAATGATTAAAGAAGATATTAGATTCCCAGATGGTTCTTCTTATGTGATATTAATAACTGAATTGGTTAAAAAGATCTTTCCTATATTGTTTATTCATCACCTCAATAATTTTTTAAAAAATGCTAGTAAAGAAGTTAGAAGAATGAGTATGTTGCAAAGAAATAAAAATCCCCTCCCCCTAAAAAAACACACTCAAACCCTACAGAAAAAATTGCAAAAATAATAGGTAACTTTTGCTATACAAAGTAACTTTTGGTTTAGGTAAATATATGCAAGGTCAGACTCCATTTTCCCTTTGTACAGTGCGTGTTGTCTAAAACTGTCTGAACTTCTCATCTGTTCAACCACACATTTCTATCAGACCATATTGTTTTATAGGACAGTTACTATAAGCACATTGTCACAGTGTCCATGTGGATTACAAATGCTCAAATAAGAAACGGAGACACAGGGAGATTAAGTCTTGTTTTGCAGAAGTGTTTCAGTTCCTGAGTTGCAAAGCCACACAAAGGCACAGAACATAAAAAAGAAAAAAAAATTCTTATTGAGACTTCCTGACCTGTATGGGCCACGAGCCTTTTCCTCCCATTCCTTTTCAGCACATTCAACTACCTCAGATGCTCAGTGCAAATGGCAAATGCAGTATGCAACGAAAACAGACAAAACAAGAGTCTATTGATTTAGAGGATCTATAGGCCAAATCCCAAATAAATGATCTTGTAATTACAAAGCCACCATAATGACTCTACCACTGTGCATATTCACCTGTGATGTCTTTGTTTTGAAATTCAGAATTTTTTTTCAAGATGTGAATACATGAGGAGTACAGATCCTCTTCACTGTGAATTAGTAAGTCATAATAATTTGCTATCATCTCTTTATTCCATTCAAAGGGATCCAAAAGTACTTCTATATTCATACACTACTGTCTCATTATTCTTTTTTTCCATCATAAGTCTGTTATAATTGATAAATTTTAAGCAAAATGAATCACTTTCAACTGAACCAAACTAATTCAGTTACACTAAGAAAATAACTGAATTAAAAAAAAAAAAGAGAGAGAGAGAAAAGATAGTTCTTCTCCTTATTCCTTTTGAACATCTAGCTATCAGTAAGTTAAAAATAGAGTTGAAGGTACTCTATTACATGTTGTATTTGAACTCTAAGACTTAATGACCTATGGTGGACCTAATGCCTTTATGAATGTATCTAATTTGTTTTTGAATTCATTTATACTTCTTGTCTCCATAGGGTTCTGGAGCAGTTATCATAATACAATTTTATTCTGAGTGAAAAGCACTCTCACTTCACTGGCAATCCCTCCTTCCAATGTTGTGAAAGACTGTTAATAACTACTGCTTCTTCCTTTACCATTATACAACCCTCTTGTTACATTCCTCTTTAGTCTTCTCTCTTAGGGGAAGAAATTTCCTAGCACAATTATCCTCCCCTCATAAAGAAGCCAAAAATGGTTTCTTTTCTAGCATGCAGGTTCAGGATGCGGAAGAAAATCTATACCTCTCCTAAGAGAATACTCATTCAAATTAGTGGAATAATGGGAATAAGAGAGAAGAGAGAAGAAATAAGAGGAGAGAAAGCTTACTCACCAGGACTGTCATAATGAAGGCAGTGCAGACTAAACCTATTGGTAAGGCAATTGCTATCTTAGCATCAGCTGATAGCGGGCATTCCCCACAATCTGCTGGACAGATAGAGCAGCCTTCTTCTTCCTCACAAAAGCCATCTCCACAAACTGATTAGAAAAGGAAACCCGTATCAGGATATTTTATGGCAGTTTCATCCAACAACATGGTTGAATTCAGATTTAAACACATGATTCCTGAGGTAACTTCAGAGTACCAGAAATAACACATTCTGAAGAATCCAGAGATAGTACTACTGCAGCTGAGTTTATTATTTTGGTTTTCAAAGTGATGTAGGTGCTCTTTGATCTGATCAAATTGTTAATGAAATGAGAGTCTTTGATTTTTGTGTGTGTACAAATAATTTAATTACTACTCTGTTTCTCATTGTCCATCTGATTTGTTTGTTTGCTTGTTTTTCCGAGACAAGAAGTTCCTCAAGGCGGACATTGTCTTTTGAGTTTTTTGCACATAAGTCAGCCCTTGAGACCTCCAGAAGTAGGTGATTCTTTCTCAGAAGCAGCAGACTATGAGTACTTCAGATTGAAACCTTGCTACCCATGCTTCAAGGATTTCTTTTCCTCCAAGGTCTTAAGAAAATTATCAGCAGCATCAGCCGTGATTTAAAACAAAAGCCCTAGAGGACAAAACTCCTTCTCCCATGTTCCGAGTGCTGTTTCAATTTTACCTCTATGCCTAAACTAATATAATTCTTCACTTCAGCCTCCTGAGACAAGCTCAAGATATTATTCTGTCACTACAAAATATTTAAAAAAAAAAATCCTCAACAAAACAAAATCCACAGTTTTCATCCAGTCTGGAGTTTCTTTGGTTCTGCTTGTTTGTTTTTGTGTTTGTTTTTGTTTTTAATAACATTGAAGAATATAAACTTCCAGAAGAGTAGCTAACAAGAAAACTTTGATGACATTTCTGTTTAACCAATATTCTTCAAGTTGTGTTTAATTTATTAAATAATACCCACTTTTTATTTTTGCTTTGCTAAGAGAATTGTTACTATTATTTCTGCTTCCCTGCATATTGTTATACTAAGCTGCACAGAACTCTGATGCCTTTGGGAGCAACTGGATTTTAATGTGAATAATGGAACAAACTGGGTTTCTACCTTTCCAATGTGCTTAAGGCTAATCTGTTCCCCCTCAGATTAAGAATGTCCACATCTTCACTACATACCAGATGGAAGAATACTTTCATATCTCTGTCAACTGAACCCATTGGTCATGATATTTGACTTTACATGTTTGGCCAGAATGGCTTCCTACTATTCTAGCTTCTTTCACAGGTAAGAAGAAGCTCAAATAATTTTTTAGATTTTCAGCCTTAGAAGAATTTTAGGAAGATCTTTGTTTATACATAATTGTAAGGAAGGGTAGGAGTCACTCTTGCTCTTGGTATGCATACATGAATGATAAAAGCATTTACATTTAATAAGCAATTCCCTCCCTCTATATCATACCTACTGCAGGAAGGACTGTGGTTTTTGCTTCCAGAGCAACTTGCATTCTCCCAACTCTGATGTGTGCGATGAGAGAAGTCACACCCACGTGAACCAAAACAACCTGCCAAATAAGTGAACAAAGCTGCAAGGATTGAAACTTCATGTGCATACAGTATGTCATTTTAACAAGAATGACCCAATTATGGTGTCTTCCAAAAGAATATGTTTGTTTTTTTTTTCAGAATCAGGAAGGTCAGGGGTGCTTGACTGGTGAAACAAACAGTAGCAGGAGAGGCAAGCCATGTTGGAAAGCCAGGTCTGATTCCTCTGACTGGTGATCGTTCTTTCAATCAGGCAAAGCTTTCAGCCTATGCATCCCTGTCACATTTGTGTGCCTGTTACTTCTGCTTGGTAGAAACCCCTAGAGATCATGCTAACCTGTAACACAGTCTAGTCAGGAGCACAATATTTTGGTAGTACAGGCCTTAAACAGACAGGTTAGGCTCTTTTCTTCTTTCCCATCCCCATTATTTCTACTAACTACATTAAGTAGTAGCAGTATGAAAAGCTATTGCTTCCAATTGAGTCAGTTTTGAATTGGTGATACTCAGCCATATGCACTGCTTACATATATAATACTGACATCAGTTAACAAGACAGGGAACATGCACATGAACTGTATCAAACTACTAGCAAGTAAGCTTTGAAAAGAGCAAACCATTTATTGTATATAACAAATACACCTTACCTTGGCAGTCCAGTTTCTTTGGCTCATTTTGCCAGCTGTAGATAAAGTGTGGGTAAATATCTGGCCATCATCGGGAATCCATGGACCACATATTCCTCCTCTACCCTTTATCAGACAGATCGGTTATGTCACTAAATGATGACACAGTAAAATCCTAGGTCTCCCTTTTTCACCTTCTTAAAATGCCTTGTATTCTTTTTCAGAAAATAACAAATTCTATTAAAATGCCAAAGTACAAACAACGTTGTTTTGTGATAAAATAAAAGATAGTAAGAGAGAAATGGGCTTAAATTGAGTCAAAATCTCACAAAAGCTCATTATTGTCTAAAATACATGAACCAAAATCTGGTCCTTATTTTAGCTCCAGTAATTCCATGCACCTAATATCCCTTTTTAGCACCTAATATCCCTTTTTAGCAGGTTTTGCTGCACTAGAACCAGAACCAGAATCATATCCCATATTTTATATTTTTTCTAAAGGTATTTTATTGCAGCTTGACTTTTAGTATGACAGGGCTTTTTTCTTTCACAAATCAGGAAGCAATCTGTTATGTGTCAATGTCTGTTTGCAAAGCATTTTGTAGTAAAGCTCTGAAAAAGCAAACTTCTCAACAATTGCAAACACTTAGGATTATTTTGGCTCTTTGAAGATCGTGCATTGTTTTGATGTTTCAAAAGGCTTAAGTCTGTCTACTAACTCCAGATATCTCTGCAGGAACTTCTTTCAATGCAGTGTAAAGCACAGACCTAATCCAAAGAAACAGTACATGCAAACCAAAAAAAAAAAAAAAACAAAAAAACCAAAAAAAAAACAAAACAACAACAACAACAACAACAACAAAGCTTTAAATGTTACACCATTAAAAAATAATAATAATAATTAAAAAAAAAGCACAACCCACCATCAAAAAAAAAAAAAGTTCTTCAGTATGGTTCTAGCGAAAAGCTTTGATGCGATAGTTCCAGCAGGGATTCCTCTTTCAAATAAAAGTCTTGGTATCAGCTAAGGTCCTCAGGGAGTCATTAATAAAACAGCTCCATACAAAGAGGGCTGCCATGAAGTAAACTAGAGTTGTTAGAAGGCATTAAGCCTTCACACAGAACAGTGCATGAAATAGCCACAAGATATGTAAGGCTATGTTTACTATTACACTGTGTTTGATCATGAAGAATGTGTAAGTTGCCGTAAGGGAAATCAACTTGAAAAACTGGGCAACTGCATGAAGGTTATTTTTCTGGGTAAGGCTTCCCTCACAGGGGAAAATGAAAAGGAAGAGGGAGAGGAGAAAAAAGAAAAGGAAGGGAAAGGGAAAGGGAAAGGGAAAGGGAAAGGGAAAGGGAAAGGGAAAGGGAAAGGGAAAGGGAAAGGGAAGGAAAGGGAAAGGGAAAGGGAAAGGGAAAGGGAAAGGGAAAGGGAAAGGGAAAGGGAAAGGGAAGGAAAGGGAAAGGGAAAGGGAAAGGGAAAGGGAAAGGGAAAGGGAAAGGGAAAGGGAAAAGGAAAGGGAAAGGGAAAGGAAGTTTGTTATTATGCATTTCCATTCTTTTTTTTTCTTTTTTTCTTTTTTTTTTTTTTTCCCTAATCTAATATAGAAAAACTAGTTCATCTTAGCACCTGTGTATACAGGCTTCCATTCTACAAGTCACAGACAGTGTGACTTGTGTGATTCACACTAGTCAATTTGTCAATTTTAGTAATTCAGGCAAATCATTCAGGTTCCCTCTATAAGATGCAGAGAGATAGTGATACTTGCAGCTGACAATTAATCCTACTTGTTTTAGAATGAAATGATCTATCTTTCTTTCTCTACTGAGTGTATAGAGATTTGAGTCAAGTAAACTTGAAGAGATGTAACTAGACACTTTAAGAATAATGAGTACTTCTGAATACCATCTAGTACAAAAATAAAGCTACTTGCTTTGCAGCCTCAGAATCAAGTGCAAAGATTTCTGAAACTGACAAATTCTCACTTTTTTTTTTTTCAGTAAACTATAGATTAGGTCTAATTGTAATAACAAAAAGACCTCACAAAAGTCATTGCAAAAAGTTTTTACAAAACTTATTGCAATGGTGTTTCATCCAATACCACAAACAGAGCACGTGAAGTCACACCCTTTTACTAACCATGAAGGCCAAAGGACAGGAGTGAATGTTGGCATGATGGACACAGCAGTTCTCGCCATTTGCATCTTTCCAGCTGGCAGGGCACTCATGCTCCTCACAGAATTCCCTTGCAGCAGTAGCATTGCTAGCCAAGGAGCAGAGAAAAGGACATAATTTTATATTCATTACTTATTCCTCAAAACTGTAACAAGCGCAGAAAATCCTGTATAGAAAAATGAGTAACATAAACATATGCAGTGAAAGAAACACTGTAATGCCATTTCTCTCTCCTTTCTCTTTTGTTTTACTTCTGGTTGAAGCACTCCTAGAGCAATTAAGATTGCTGCCAACTCTGGCAGATACTATACCTCAAGCAGCTACCAGCCTCCACTTATGTCTTGAGACTGACTGCATGACCAGATTACTTGGCATTGCTACAACTGGATTAGAAGAACATACCACTTACCATACTTCCACTATCAGAAATATGTGTCCCTGGTTTCTTTCATTCTCAGTGTTTTCAGTTATATATGTGAATCTATGCAAATCTATGCATGTGATTCCTATTTGGTTTCAGTCTTTGCTCCACAACCTGAAGAACCAATGATAATTACTACAATATCAGATACAAATACTAAAACCAAAAACTTAGAGGAAATAATGGTCTGTATGTTTAGACTGTTCTGCTAAACAACCACAGAATCACCGAACAGCCCAGGTTGGAAGGGGCCTCAAAAGACCATCAGGTCTGAACTTTTGTGTCAAAAAGGAGACTAGATGAAATTATTTTGGATGCTGTCCAACTGCATCTTAATAACCTCCAGTGATAGGAACTTGAGCACACCCCTATGAAAGTTGTTCCTCTGACTGGTTGTCTTCATTGTAAAATATATATATATATATATATATATGTATATACATATATAGTATCAAGATTAAATGTCTCCCAATGCAACTTTTACCCTTTGTGTTTTTGCCTCATGTCTTCCCCATGTGACTCCTTGTTAGGAGGCCCCCATCCACTTTGTAGCCACCATTGGAATACTGTAATGAGGTCTTCCCCTAAGCTTTCTTGTCTCAAGAGTGTAAAGACCTAACTCCTTCAGTCTTTCCTCATTGAGTAAGGATTTCTTCAGCGCTTTGATTATCTTTGTGGCTCTCCTTTGGACCCTGACCAGCCTTTTTTGAATTTCAGGGACCAGAACTGGACATAGTACTCCAGGCCTGACAAGTGCTGAGTAGAACTAGTCATAGGAGATCAGATTTAAAAGGGAAGACTACATTACAAGAAATATATATAAGTTAGGATTTTTGGAAGTTCATCACAGAAAGATGAATGTAGTTCCCTGGATACAGGGAACTACACTTTTTTTTCACAACACTTTTTTCCAATGTGTTTTCTGATTTACACTTTCAGTTGAGCAACAACTTCTGTGAAGCTGGTTATGACCATAATAAACTGATTTGGCTTTAAAATAAAATCATTTTCTCCAAATATGGCTTACTCAGCAGATACGGCCAGATTTAGTTGTACAGTTTAGTTTGTATGTTATGCATAATAGCTCTCTAAACTGATTGACGCCAGGATTTATATATATATATATATATATATACATATATATATATGTATATATACATATATATGTATGAATATTTATTTTTTTATTTGTTTGTTTATATGTTTTTAATGCAAGAACAACTAGCCCATACTGAGTAGATTTAAGAGAGAAGACTGTATCAGAAGAAAGAAATATGCGTACATACTCAAAGAGCAGGATTTTCTAAATTGCTTAGTGATTTAAAAGAGTGGTTATCCTTGGCAAGAACAGGAAAACTTATTCATTCTAAGCAGCTAAAAAAAAATGATTTTTGGTTAAGTTTTTTGATTATTTATTTATTTATTTTCTATTGCAAATGGATTATATGTCATCTTCCAATCTTAAATAAAATCACCCTGGATAACAGCTTTTACAACATGAACTTCACAATGTGAACACTCACATAGACAAAGAAGAACGTAAGTTTTTTCCATAAGCATCTCTTATAGTAGCCAAATACAGAGGAGAATATGGGGAATTGTGGCTGCAGCCTCTGTCCCAGACATTGCTTTATACGGTTGGAAAACTGGTGTGTACAGTCCACAACTGTAAGATCACAGCATACTAGCATTTTAGTGATCTAAAGTTGTACATAGACACATACTGTACTTAGCCTACGTTGTCTAGTTACTAATAGTCTCTGAAGTGACTGAACTGGACTCCTTTTGGACTGATTTCAATGCCATAGAAATTGAAATAAATTCTTCACTGAAATCACTGGATTCAAGTTTGGGCCAACCCCTTTGTTATATTTATGTTGTGCACTTTGAATATGCGTATTATTACAATAGACGTAGAACACAGTGAGTATGGGACTCCTGCAAGAATCATATTTATTTCCTCATGTAGAGAAGCTAACAAGTGATATTTAGAGTTCCACTGATACTGTTATACAGATGCAGGATGACACGTGCTGTCCTTGACATGCAGGTGAGTGTGCCATGATGGGTGTTGTGAAAGCAAATCCATTCCAGAGGGGCAAATATCAGTGCAAACACTGCTAGAAGAGAAGTCAAGAAGTGCAAGGAATTAGCTAGGAGCACAAGAACATGTGTTCCAATTATGTTACAGAAAATGTCTGTGTGTATAGAATCCCCATATACTCATAACCATGAAAACATTTTATAGGAGGTAATACCTGTGAGAAAGGATTCCATTTTGCACTGCATATTGATAAAAGCCATCTGAAGCAAAGACTGCATAGGTCACATTGAAGAATTCCCCACTCACAGCCTTTTCTGGAGGCCTTTTCACCCATGCCATCTCCAGACCTAGAAAAAATAAAATTATGAGCCAATATATTTGCTGTACTTTTCTACTTTGCAGTTGTATACAAATGTAAATCTTCCTCTGTGCTAGGGAGCATTGTGTACTGAAAGGGAAATAAGTGTCATTTTCATCCATTGTTCCTTTTGCTTTTTACAGGCCCAAAATACTCATCCATTTTAGTGGCTGTATAAGTAAGCACAAATGCTCATTACTACAATTCTGACATTCACTTAGAAAAGATCAAGCAATTGCAGAAATATGATAAAAAGTCTGTTCATCTTATCTATAATAAATTTACTCTCAGCACAATGCAGTGCTACTTTTCCCGATACACTTCCTTTGATTGGAATGGGTTGCCCAGGGAGGTGGTGGAGTCGCCGTCCCTGGGGGTGCTTAAGGAAAGTGGATGTGGTACATAGGGATGTGGTTTAGTGGGTGATATCAGTGGTAGGGGGATGGTTGGACCAGATGATCTTGGAGGTCTTTTCCAACCATAATGATAATGTGATTCTATGATTCCTCTTAGATCAGGTAATAAGCACTGTTCATCATTCCTGTCTGGTTTCATGGAGGCGCACCTCCTTATTGAAGAACAGACAACTCTAGGACACATGAAATTCAGCCAGAAACTTTAACCTCACTAGATACTACTTATGCTAATTCCATACTTAAGAAAGCTAGCTCTTTTTATAAAACTGTATAACGTCTAGAGCAGAGGACAGTGGGAGTACTGCTGCTCAGACATCTGTCATTTTCCATTTTTGCACCCTTACCAGGAAAAATAATTTAACTTGTTCATCTCTCTTATCCCTGGGACACCTTATTACCTGCTTTGAGCCTGTGAGTGAAGTGAGATTAAAGGTAAGAGCTGCTTTTAATTCATATTCTCAAACAATGCTATGTAGTGGTTTGGGCTGAGATGGAGTTAATTTTCTTCATAGTGGCTACTATGATACCACGTTTTGGATTTAGGATGAGAACAATGCTGACAGCACACCATGGTTTAGTTGTTGCAGAGCAGTGCTCCCACTGAGCCAAGGCCTTTTGAGCTCCTTGTGCTGCCCCAGGAGGAGGAGGCAGGGAGTGCACAAGGAGCTGGGAGGGGAGACAGCCAGGAACAGCTGACCCCAGCTGGCCAAAGGGATGTCCGACACCATGAGGCATCATGTGAGACAATAAAATACAGTGGGGGGGTGGAGGAGTGTGTGGGGTAGTTACTGCTGCTCAAGAACTGGCTGGGCATCATTTGGTGGATGGTGAATAATTGCATTGTACATCACTTCCTTTGTATATCTATGTTTACATTTCTGTTTTTGTTTATATATATTATCCCTTTCTTTTTTGTCTTATTAAACCGTCGTTATTTCAAACCACAAGTGTTTACCATTTTTTTTTCTGATTTTATTCCCCATCCCACTGGTGGGGAGTGAGCAAATAGCTATGTGGTACTTAGCTGTCGGCCAGGTTACACCACAACAACTACAAAAATCTTTTCACTCCTTTCACCAGCCTCTTTGTATGTTGTTGGATGAAGGTTTAAATTTTTGGCATGTCAAATAACATATGCAGGTATGCAGTTTGTCAGGAAATAAATCCATTCTGCAGAGGATGGGTAAGAGAGTTCCCATCCTGCTGTTCAAGAGATCCTCACTTTTTTATTGTTGTTCAGTTATAAATTCTCTTAATACTCTAGAGTAGTTTTTACAAGTGTATTATTCACTTGCACTGATAATGAAATAAGACATTATTCTTTCTCTTAAACATAATCCCTTTCAGATATAAAGAAGCAAATGGTAGAAGAACCTCTAGGCATCACCTCCCCCTTGCAAAGTAGTTTTATAAGAAGTAAAGTAAACAAAGGTTAAAAAAATAATAATAAATAAAATAAAAAAGCTCTTGCTACAAAGAGCAATTTGCACTAAAAGGTAAGAGAGCTGAGGTTCAGAAAATGTAAGAGAATGAATGTAGAAGGTCAGCATAAACTTCAGAAAAATTACTTTTTACTCACCTTTAAAGGTCTCACAAAAATAAACAAAACTCTTATTTCAATGATAGATACTCCCACATCTAAGTGTTTTGAAGATCTTGTGTTACAAGTCAAATTGACAGCAATAAAGCTGCAGTAGATGCCTTTCACTCTGCTTTCATAAGTGCCCAGGGATTGCAAGGAAGAATCACAGAGAAAGGCAGGATAAAGCTTGGTGTTCATTCTAAAACTGGTTCTAAAGGGTATATGTTAAAACCTACTCATATTTGTTTCCTTTGTACTCAGTTCACACTGATTTAATAAGAACAGCTTCAAACAAGTTATATGTTCTGATAAGTTCCAATGTTAAAACAATAATAAATTCATACACGAATAATATCCTTGGTTGACAGACATGTAGATAGTCTTTCAATTCCTCTCTTCAGTCCGAACTCTTCAGAAAATGTTTGACTACAGTATTGAGTTCAGAGTAGAACCCAGTAGTTTATTTCCTGGAGTGTTATATAACTACTAGAATTTCTCAGGTAAACTTGTTGTTTTCTAAAAAAATAAAAATTAAAAAAAATAAAAAAAGGGGGGAAAGGGAAGGGAAGGGAAGGGAAGGGAAGGGAAGGGAAGGGAAGGGAAGGGAAGGGAAGGGAAGGGAAGGGAAGGGAAGGGAAGGGAAGGGAAGGGAAGGGAAGGGAAGGGAAGGGAAGGGAAGGGAAGGGAAGGGAAGGGAAGGGAAGGGAAGGGAAGGGAAGGGAAGGGAAGGGAAGGGAAGGGAAAAGGTCTCTGATCTAATCTTTTCTAACACAAACAAAAGTGTTCCTTTACAGCAGTTATTTAGTCCTTTATTCCCAGTTACAGAGTCACAGAATCACAGTACAGTTGAAAACGGAAATTATCTCTGGAAATCATTCAGTCCAGCCTGATCTTTTTCAAGGCAGAGTCACATGCTGCAAGGCAGAGTCACATGTTGCTCAGTCCTTTGCAAAGTTGGGTTTTGAATATCCCCAAGGATGGAGAAACCACATCTCTGGACAACGTCTTCCAATGTTTCATGGCCCACAGAGAAGAAAGCTTTTTTTACATTTAAATTGAATTTCCCATATTTCAATTATTCTTCAATTATTTTTAAATCTCAAGCAATTTCAAAGATTAAAAAAACAAAACAAAACAAAACAAAACAAAAACACTGTTTTTATTATATCATCATGTAAATTCAATTTTGAAAATGATTGGAATAAGTGGTTAAAGATCTCAGATTTTAAGTACTCATGGAACAGTGTTGAGCAAGGAGAGGGAAGCACTATGTGCAGAAATGGTGATTTTATTTACTGGCTGGAGGATTTAAACAGTCCACTTTTGAAATGACACTATAAAATTTCAGGAATGACTCAATAGAATTTGCTGCAATGCAGAGCTGACTGCCTGCTTTGTTTGGATTAAGTTGCATTTGGTTTTCTAATGAGAAATGAAATGTTTTCAATTATTTTCTGGGGGAAGGGATTCAGCTGTTGCTATTACTTTTTCTTTTGGAATCAATGAATATTGGACAAATAATTACTCAGAACTTTCTTTTGACTATTTTCTTTCACTTTTTCTCTAGAAAAAAATGTTGTTACTGACTCAGATGCCTTACACCACATGAAACATTCGCTATGAGTTAGGTATTATTCTCAGTACTTCAATTTGGGTTTCTCAAGCAAGATATGATCTTCTATGAGCAGCTTTAGAACTTACCTCCGCAGTCCAGCATGTTATACTCATCTGGTTTTTCCAGGGGCCAACAGTCATAGTCTTTGTTGTCTAAATCATGCCATCCCCCCGCTAACATGACCTGCCAAAAAAAAAGCATACAAATTGACACTATAGGAACAGGGGAAAAATGAGTTTCATTTGGAAAGTTTGTATTTCTTCTAAAGAAAATAAAACAAGCATAGAAACAGAACCTGGCATATTTTGACTCGTTTCTTCAACTTTTGAAGCAAAAAATGACAACTTCTTAGGGATCAGTTTATTACTTTGATCTACCCAGAAATTAGACCTGAGATAATGTAGTGACTTAACTAAACTGTCTCTTGCAGAAGTTTTCCTCTATAAAATATGGGCAGTTCTAGGACCATATGCAGAGAAACATTTTATTTAAAGAGTTTTTCTCCTTGCTTTTAAAATGCTATCTTCCTACATTGAAATTCTTTCCATGATTATTTTTCATTATAGATTTAATAATAAAATATAATTAATTATACACATGTTACAATATGTAATTATAGACAATATTAAGATTGCATACGCCTATTAAATATAGAACACAGCATCATAATAGCATACAGAGTGAAATCGAACAGTTGCAGAATATAAATAATTATGCCTGTTTATGTATTATAAATTTTATACATATTTATACGAATCAGGTATTAAAATAGACATTCTAGGCTATATATGAACAGGTGATAATGCACCCTGGGTTTAGTCCTCAATTAGTAAAATAATTATTTTTCTTTATATATTATTGGAAAATAATCATCTACTGGATTTTGCAATTACTAATCCAGTTATTTAAGGAATAAGATAGAATTATATTTTTTCCAATGTATTCTGCTATAACCTTGTATAGATGCACATTAATAAAATAGCCATCTCACTGCAATAAGCCATCTACCATTCCTACAGTATGCATGGACCAGAGGAACACATTACAGTAGAAGGATCTACATAGTTTACCTACCAATAAACTGAGGAGGATTCGGAGCCCTAAGGCAAGTGTTTTGATAGCTCTCATATTCCCTAACATGCATCCAGCTCACCAAGAATCTGGGCTGCTTCTGTTGTTGCTGTTGCTGCTGAATTAGATGCCCCTGCCTAAGAAGGGGGGTTGCTAGGCAAGCCAATCCTAGCAACTCCAGCTGCTGCAGATGTTCTGCCTCCTCCTCTTTTACCCTACCCTACATCTGCTCAGTGCAGGGTGGAAACACTCCACCACACTTTTGCTGAGCCTCTCTGAAAAATCAGCACTTGCCTTAGGGGCAGCCCCACTTTCAGACTGTTGATGTTTGTGCCCCTGTCAGCTCCAACCTGGAAGAGCAATGGGAGGATTTTATTTCACTGCCTTATTGAGCTTGGGTAGCATCTGACCCTTAGACAGCATCCTATAGTTGATGAAACAATATTGTGGGAATAAACACAGACACATAGTTGGGCCTGGGCAAAGATCTCCTGAGGTCCCTTCCAACCTGAGTTATCTTAAGTCTGATGACTCCAATTTCACTGTCCCTGGAGGTGATGGACAGCTTTTGTTTGAGACATGACCTGGTACACAGGTGAAATAGATCTCTGCCTAGCCATGCTGAAAAGATGTGTCTAGTGCTATTTCTGTTTTCTGAAGTCACTTGCAACACTGAATGTCAGTTATGATTCAGCTCTTCTGGATATTTTCCCTGGAATTCTGGCTCAGCCCAAATTCACCTTAAGAACCTTAGTTGACATGCTTGAACTTCACAATCTGTCACATCATAAATGCATGAAAGAGTTACTTCGATGCAAGGTGTGCCCTATTCATCTTGAAAGGGCAAGATGAATATTAAATTTAAAATCTGCTTGGGTGCACTCATAACAGCTTGAATGAACCAAGTGAATGAGCTAACATGAAGTTTCAGGTTGGAATTTTGTTTTGGTAATAAAATCATAAACCTCAGTTGTGCTGTGCTTCCCTGTGCTTCACTATGAGCATTTAACCCAAATCACACATTGCAATATATGGAAACCTTTAGACTATTTCAGCTTGGCGCAATGACAGAAAGAGAGTAGAAAAAAAATATAATTTTTGGCTAGAATTATCTGCTTAGAAGAACTCTACATATATTAACACCTGGAGAGGTTTTACTAGTGATTTGTTTCAGGATATCTTGTGCTTAATGAGGAATTCGTTGGCAGGAAAGCTAAGGATTACAACTTCTTAGATCCTACAGCAGCCAACAGATTACCAGACTGATCCTATTTTCTTCAGTAGGGATGCCAAATATTCAAATGGCATTAATATCATGATTCAAGGACTGTAAGGATCATACATTACCTTTATAGCTACTTGTCTGTCACAGAGTTCAGAATTCCTGGAAAGTGGCCAAGAACAAGAAGCTGGTCTAGGAATCCTGAATTAAAGATGGATGGAAATGAATGGTTGGTGATTATCTAACTTAACAATCTATCCTAGATATTTGGGTAGCACACTGCTGCTTCTGCATTTAAATCCTGAAAATTTTAAAAAGAAAACCAGTGGTGACTGTTTTGCAATATAAATATAGGCACCATGCCAAAAAGAAGTGAGAGATTAGTAAGTAAGACATTATTCAGGTCTGTCTACAACTCTATGTATATGAAGGAAATCAAAAACAGGTTTGAAGATGTTGGTCATCTCGAACTTAATATTTTTCCATTTGCTTTTTTTTTTTTTTTTGCTTGCACATTATCTGCAGCCCCATAATTTGCATTAACGTCTTAACATTGACTACTATGAGTTATTTTATTAACAGTCAGACTCAGTCCAGTATAAAGTATTCTGCCTACTGCTACTTGGTTTTCTCAATGCATAAACACATCTCTTTGGCTTCCCGTCTTAGAAAGATTTTGCATCTGAAAACAAAACAAAACAAAAGGGGGAGTGGGGGGGCAAGGGGGAAATTTCTCCTGATTTAAATAAAGTTTCTTTAATAACTTCATGTTTACAGATTTATATCTATTGGCTGTGCTCAGATGGTCACTTAAGAAACATGCTTTCCATGTAATTCCTTAACTTAATAATAACTTCTAGTATCAAATGAACAGAAAATAAAGGTATTTCAAAGTTCTATGAGCAATATCACTGTTGCTATTGATAAAGATGTACATTTTCATTAAAGTTTGTAAAAATGAACAATTTTATATCTAAAATATCCATACGCTGTATATATAGAAAATAACAGTAGTTAAAAAATTGCTGAATAAAACTTGTTAAATATGTACTTTGTGATATTTTAGAAGAGTAATTTCTAGCAATATACCAGAAGAAAAATTTCTATGATTAAACCTTCAAATATCTTTAAAGATATTTATTTAATGTGTAATTCAAGCTTTCCAGACAGTTCTTGTCTTGGTAACAAGCTGCAGTCAAAATAAAGACTTTTATGCTATTTATTTTTTAATTGGATCAAATTTTCTAGCAAGACAATTATTTGCCACATAAAACAGTCTCAAAAATCAATATTAGGTCTCATCTGTAATTTCAAAATGATGGAGTTTGAAAGACATCTTTTTTTTTTCCAGAATTGTTTTTTCTTTGAAAAAATAGTATTTTAAACACAATTCCTTGAAATATTAAATTCTACTATGCAGATTATGTTATTAGCCAGATATTATAAGATCACTTTATGTGTACACAGGAAAAGACAGAATTTAGAAACTGAAAAAAAAATATATTTTTTTTTATAAATATTTTGATGGTGTACACAAATGTATTCTGTATTTAATCAAGGGAAAAATGAGGGAAAAATGTGAAAATTTGGGCAAGTATTAAGTAAAAGTGAATTGATTGGGTTGGTGAAAAAATCACAGAACCACAGAATCACAGAACTTCTAGGTTGGAAGAGACCTCAAGATCATCGAGTCCAACCTCTAACCTAACACTAACAGTCCCCACTAAACCATATCCCTAAGCTCTACATCTAAACGTCTTTTGAAGACTTCCAGGGATGGTGACTCCACCACCTCCCTGGGCAGCCTGTTCCAGTAATTGCATAACCATTTATGTTTCCTAAAGAGAGGGCTTTTATAGAAACAAGTGGTTGAAATCTTATATGCTATATGCATGTATTCACACAGAGGAATATTATAACTCTAAAGATAACAAATTCCAGGCATTCCTGACCAAAATACCACTGTACGTTGAGGACTCAGTGAACCTGTGCCATGCTGGGCTGCGCAGCCACCAGTCTGGTGTTATGCTGCACAAACAACCTGGACCCAGTGATTATTCCACTTGTGTGTTCATGCTGTTATCTTTGCACAGAAAGAAGATCTCATGAGCGAGGTGTTTCTGTTTTCACTGTAGAAACGATAAGTAGAGTTGTTTCCTTGAAAGAAAATCATATAATGTTGTGAATGACCAAAGGGGGACACGCTGTGCTACGTACAAGGTCTGCACGACACACTGCATGTTGGTTGGATTCCCGTTCAGTGCTTCAGGGCTTGGGGATCCTACCTGCTGAGAGGACATAAGATTATTTTTGATATTCTCTTTATACAATCTTAGCTCTAATAAAAAGCATTCTAAATGAATGGTTTGACTGCATTTTTTACTGCGACATAGCAGCCCAGCACCACCTGGCATAAAGCAAAAGCTTCGGACAGTCATCATGTTTGCAAAAAAGGCCAGAGCACTCTGACACTTCCCTCTAGTGGTTTAACAGCAGAACAACGGGAGACCAATTCCTCTGTGTGCGCAGATTGGTTTAAGCATAACTTCCTTTTGATGCAAAAGATGCCACAAATAGGATACCTTCAGTGTCACCTGTCTACGAGCAGCACAGAACTGGCTTTATCTCAGGTCCTCTCCTGGGAATGAGGTGAGGCAGCAGCTGGTGGCCTTGTACCCCCTTCCCTTCATAATAGCAGAGTGATGCAGTGGGGAGAGCCACAAGAAATTGCCAGGTTTTGGCATATGGACACATTACCACAGCACAGCAAGTACTTACACATCCACTGGATCATGGTAACCATTTTTTCACATGTCATCTCCCTGCAGAAGGTGCTTTGCTGTTCTACCTAGCAGCCCACAAAAAGTTTTCATCCTATATAGTAGTTCCACATTGACATAAGGAAGTGTACGTGTCAAAAGAGACCTTCCAGCATGGGCTTCTTGAGCATTCTCCTTATGCTACTGGCACTCCAGGCTTTCTGCTGATATTATTATTATTTTAATTTCTCTTGTTCTGCTGCATTAGTTTTAACTGGTTTAAGTGTTTTTTCCTCCCACCCGCTGTTTTTCCTCATCTGTTCTGTCTGCAAACCAACTCATATTCAAGTAAAGTAAAAATTATGTGAGCTCATGATGTGGTTCAGTGAAACTCAGATCATAGATGAGCCTGGATTAGCAAGATCAAGAAACAACATCTGATTCTCTCTGGAATACATGGTAATTTAATTAAAAGACTAAATATTGTCATACATTTTGTAATGTACATTATTGATTGTCTTCAATTTGTTGGAAATGTTGAAGTGACACCAGATTAGGGTATGGTGAAATTCTGGAGCACAGGAAGCAAGCTTTGAAGCCTTGCATAGAGCACACCATCACATATCTTTGTCGTATCTTTACATTTCTCTCACTCTCCCAAATATTGGAAGTTTGAAAGAATTCCAAAGAAAGAGGCCTTAGGCTAAAAGAATGATAATCATAAAATAAAAAAGAGGTAATGGCATACTTGTTCCTACCAACCTGAAAGCTTAATGTTAGGTGATTAATCTTTGATGACAGTTTAACTCAATTGCAGCAGAGGGAACAAACAGTTACATAGTTTACACAAAGGAATGGAGCTGGGAGGCAGTATGAAAGCATGACAGAACAGAAAAAAATTTTTATGAAAAGGTAATTACAGGACATTGAAAATTACAACTAAGAAATTGCTTCTTCTGACTGCCATCTAGGATGTTATACATACTTCACAACACACACAAACCTTAAAATGCAAATAACATTCATTGGTAAGGTGACAAGTAGTTTGCACTGGACTCTCAAGTCGCTGTGAATACTGAACAAATTTATAAATGTAAATGCATTTGTTAGGCCCACTCTAATTGATATAGCATCTTAGGAAGAATTGTTCTGCTGTTGCAGCAGAGTTTGTTCTGCAGCACTACATAAGATTAAATATGTAATTCATCTCAAAAATGATTTAAAAAATATATCAAAACTTGAGGTATGAAGTAGCAGGTACATGAAGCATAAAATAGCACATAACCTGCAGGTTGTATGAAGACTGTTGTCTTGGATATATTGCAAACTCAAAGTAGTATTTCCCTTTAAGAGAACACACTGCAGTTTAGACAATTGGCCAGTACATGAGCTGTTGTGGAAGGCATGTAACATTCTAAGATTTTCACTGTGTAAAGCAATCTGTATTTTTTCTTTGTCTAAAGAGAAGGTGGAAAGACTGATGACATCTGGAATTTCACAGAGTACTCATAATGAGAAATCTAGCAAGTAATAGTGATTCTCTAGCTGAAAATTGTGTTGGTCTTCATAATGTGATAAAACACATGATGGAAAACCCTTAAAAGGACTGGATAAGAAAAAAAGAACTTGCAGTTCTCAGAGAATCCAACAGGAATTTCATTTTCAAAGTGATTAACCTTTAAAAAATCTTAGTCTAAGTATATAACTTAAAAGAGATTTCTGCACCAAGGGATTTGCTTGAATTAATCATTGGATTTGTGTTACTGTAATGAAGCATGTCAAGGCTGTAGTTGTTGAAAGGGCATTCCGTAAGACGGAGAACGTGAGAATGTATTTCAGTTTGACAGGATGACTGTCTAAGAGGCTTAAGGAGAGTTGGTCCTAGTTCAGCACAGAACAATTCTGTTTGGAAAGAAATTGAGCGGAACATCACTGATATTCTCAAATGCCTCCCATCTTTCAGTCCTCCTACACAGGCAGAAATGTTATGGATGTCTGCAGTTCTTAAAAACAGCAATCTTGTCTGTTATTAAGACCTACTAGAGAGGATCTAGCAGTCGGTGAGTGACAGCAGCTGAGGGATATTTCTGTTCTTACATGCTTCATGCTCCATAGATGCACTGGTCACTCCACTGGTTGCGGTGACATTTGACTGAAATCTACATTTTGCCTTAATGGGGTTTTCCTTTCTTCCTCCATTCTCACTGCATGACTCATTTCTGTTTACAGAATTCTTGAATGATTTTCTGCCTATATTTTTATCTACATTATTATTGCACATTTATTGATGTTTCAACCCTTCCTCCACCCCAAATAGAAAGACATCCTTATATGCCACAATAGCCTCTGAATTTCTTGGGACTCATGAGACCAGTGATTCCTAAGAGATGTTGAGAGGTCACTGAGATGGGCATCTTTTGGCCTTTTGCAATGGAAAGATCATTTAATCTTTTGGATGATCTCTTTGGAAGAACCCAGAAATGAAACAGGGGTCCTGAACTATTTCCTCATGTTATGGCCATTTCTGTGTATGTCAGACAAGACAGATGTTTGTTTGACCTGTTTTTAATGACCTTTAGTGTGACCTTTATCCATTCCTTGGTAGTCTAGTCCAAGGTGCCTTACACAAAGTTTTTCTTGTATTTCTTCACAAGGAGAAAGGGTTATCCCAGTTTGAGCAACATAATACTGAAATACAGAGTGATTAAAGAAAACACATAATGGTAAGCAGAATAGATGTGTTGACTGTAGGAATGAGTACATTCCCTATGGACAGAGACTGATGATCCCAAATGCAGATCAGGATCTTAATCACAAAACCTCTTTCATATTTTAATTAAAATAAATGTCACATTTCCAGAAAGAGGTAGGAAACATTCTTTGTTTATCATCCCAGTCTATCTGCTGATGGAAGCTTCATCTCAATTAACTTTTTAAATCTGTGCCTCAAGTGAAGTGAACTTGGTAAATGTCCAGTTTGGCATGACGCCATCTTGCAGACTGTTTTGCAACTGACTAGTTGTCAGACCTAGTCCAGTGAGAGAAGTGAGGGTTTTCAAACACTACTGAACGTGAAAAGATTGCCACGCCATTCAGGATTCTCTGCTTCTT